AAAATTGAAATTAGAATTTCCAAATCTCATCATAGTTCATCTCAACCCCACTGATTTGTGTTCAGTGTGACTGTTTCACTTGCTGGAGACCCAGCCAATTAAGTACTCAAAAAGATAAACTACTTCACAAATTCTGTCAATTGGAATGATGATTTACGTCACAACAGATGAGTTATATCCACATTTTTATAAGATTTTAGAAGTATTTGATAGACTTTGTTAGAGTTGGTATCAGCTAAACTTAGTTTATTGACAGCTTAAACTCAGATGAATAGTAGAAGGCTTTTACCATTCAGAATAAGGCGTCTCTTCTTACCATTTTCAAGTGATATTAACCAAATAGGATAAAGAGATGATGTATATAATGCAATTTAATGTGGTCATTTATTATCAATCATTTTATGGTATTTACAATTGGGCGTATTTATCTTCTATTGAAAAGATCGTATTACTAAGTTACATATTTCTTTCAATGAAACGATAGTTTGATTGACATAACTCAACTAAGATGGAGAAAGCTTCTATACAATTTTTTCATGGGCATGCATGCACACTAATCTGTAAGTCAAAATAAGAATAAAGTCTAGTTAGTCACATTTGTTGGTTAGGTCATCACTCTGCTGAAGAGTATCAAACAAGGACGAAACAGTCCATTTAGTGGCTCTTCTTGTTTTTCAGTGATTGAGTAATTTTGATGCATTATAATGTCTATAATTATTGTTATTTCTTTGGGTTCCGAGTGGAACATAGGGCTTCAACAGAATATCTCCAGTTTACCCTGTTCTATGCAGTCCACTTTAGCTGGCTCCACAATTGCCCATAAGCATTCACCTCCTCTTCGCACGATCTCTTTCTTATATGTCACTCTTGGAGCCACACCAATCTGGTCGTCTCCTGTCCATGTTCCACTTTCAGAGCTCGGCAACTCACGTCACTCATCGGTTTCCTCACCAATCCACTACCGTTCCCTTTGGAATTTTTCTTGGGCAATAGGTCCTTCATTAGTTTGTTCCCAGAATTCTTTCTGGTCAGCCATCTGATCTTTAATATGGAACCAGAGAAGGCAGTTGCTGATAAAATTCTGCATCAGACAACTTTCTGATCCATGTAGAAGAACTGACTGATTCAACACTGGTGTTGCAGTCCAAATCTTGTTGTTTATACTGAGTGCAGAAGATTTCCAAACTGATTTCAAAGTGATGAAGGTCTCCCTACCTTGACTTTTTGATCCTGCCATTCAAATCCTTATCCGTGGCGCCTGTAGTTAAATCATTGCGTACTAAATAACTGAAGAGAGTGACGTCCTTCTCCCATCGATAGTGATCCGTGCTTACTGTTAATGTCGGTCGGTTGGTAGTTTATCTTCACCACCTTTGTCCTCTCTATATTCACTTGAAGTCCTGTCTCTTCCGTCTGCTTCTTCTGCCAGTTTGTCTGATTTCGCCTGTAAGATTTCGGGTTTGTGTGACATTAGACATAAATCGTCTGAGAAGTCCAGATCTTCTGAAGTCTTCTCATCGGTTTCATATATTTCTGTCTTTTCGCGTCCTATGCGTGATGCGCTGTATGCTATGATTCACCACAAACAGGAATATCATCGTGGTTGGTAGCAATCAGCCTTGTCTAACCCTTGTTTTCTCTGATTTATCTGTTGTGAATCACCTGACTCATGACAGTTTCATGATATCTTTACTGAGGTATAATTATCTTTTGATATTTAAGATATTATATTTCGAACAAGAAAATGGTGGACGTATATGTAAAAAGAATAACCTGTATCTCAACTCATATAATACAATGTGAAATGTGTGCATATGTATGTATAAAGTAACTGGAGACATAAGTCATGTTTTCGCTATTTGCTGTATCATGAGACCTAAATATATTATCGCAGTGACATTTTTGGAGTTACGTCTTCTTAATGACACTGGAAAAGAGTCTTCTCCGCCATCTGTATAGCTAACTAAAACTTCCTTGAGTGACACACAATCGCCAAGTGACGTGATGACAACAACAGAAAACTGTGGCAGTATTAAATAATAATAACATATCAGAACTCAGAATTCCCTCAACAATGCCGCTTCATAGGTCCAGTATTTTCTCAAATACAAAACAAGTACTGTAGAGCAAAGTCAGTTAACCAAAACCAGATGTAAAAAGTACCTGAGAATCAAGTAGAGTATTCCCAACAAGGTGGGACTGAAACTCTATCAGCACGTATCACGCACCAAACACTTCTATAAAACGGTCCAAGGTCAGAACCCTATTGGTAGCCATTGATGCCATTCAAACACACTGACATCGTGAAAACAACACATTGTCAATACTATCACACAACCAAAAAGAAAAGCGTTTAAGTCAGGAAATAAATTATTATTATTTTGTTTCCTTTAGTTCCTAGAGGAACATAAAGCTTCAGCCGCACGTCTCCATTGCGTTCGGTTCTCCGCCAACGTCTTCACCTTGCTCCACATCTGCCCACATGCTTTCATCTCCTCTTTACATGACATCCTCCATGTCACCCTTGCACTAACAACCAACTCGCCACTTCCCATTTGGGTTACACTCGAGTGATGGCCTGGAGTGTAATATCACTTGATGATTTGTTTTGTCAGAGTATGGCCAATCAACCTCCATTTCTTCCTGCATATTTGTCACACAATCCCTTCCTGCTGATTTGGTTCGCTCCCAGAGGTCCTTCACTATTGCTGGTCTTTTCTGGCCGGCCATCTGATCTTGAGTAACATTGAGAGAAGACAGCTGTTGAAGAAGGTCTGTAGTTTGTTCGAAGTGCTCTTCATGACGCGCTAAGTCTCTGATCCATTAAGTAGCAATGACTTCACATTGGAGTTGAAAATCCTCATCTTACTTGTCATGCTGAGTGCTGTTCACCTCCACACAGACTTGAGAGAAATGACAGCTTGCCTTGCCCTCCCGATCCTCGCTTTGATATCCTCGTCAGTTCCACATGTAGTTGAAAAGATGCTTTCCAGGTAGGTAGATAGGTACGTGAAGGAGATTGTTTCTTTCAGATTTCTCCCACTCATGCTGGATGAATGTTGTCTGTTGTTGCTGTGACTGTTGCTGTTAGCCAGGAGTCTTCATCACTTCTGTTTCCTCTGTGTTCACCTGAATTCCTATCTTTGAAGCTTGTCCTGCTAACTTGTTGCTTTTCACTTGGATATCTTCCAGTTTATGGGAAATCAGACATATATCATCAGCGAAGTCCAGATCCTCCAAGTCAGGGAATATACAAGAACAAAAATAAATAATACCGATTAAGTTAATAGGTGACATAAAAACGTTAGAACAGTGATGTACAGTCTAGGATCAAAACGCATGATAATTACAAAGTTAGTTGAAACACCCAAATAAGTACCAATGTTGTAAACAGATCACTGAGGAGAGACAGTCCAAACAATTATTCAGTTACATTTGAACAAAGCGAAGACAAACATTTGTGTGGAATAATATGAGGCCATCATTTATTTCCTGGCAGGATTCTCTTCATCTGATTACATCCTAAATGTTGACTACGCGAATGTACATAGAATTTTGTCATATTTGCAAGGTTCGACATGATTTTTGTCAACAGAGACACAAGTCCATAAACAGTGTTCAGAAGTTCCACTTATTGAACTTATGAAAAGAGGTGAAAGTTCAAACAAGATACAAACATATAAAATTAAACGTTGGATACATTGAAAATTAATTTGTACAGTGACTATAAATGGAGAGAAGTTGATGATGATGAGTAACAGTGTGGTGAGTTTAACTTAAGTGGTAGTAACAATAGAGAACTGAATTACGCTACAGCAAAAGATGGGGGTTGTGTGGGGTGGATAAAAGTGAAAGATTATATAATCAATTGAGATGAATAGATTGGAAGTTAGGTCACCAATGTAAGGAAAGACTAATAAGTGAATCTTTTTGAATACATAAGTCAGATTTTAAACGTTTAATAGCGATCGCTTCGGTAAATTTGAGGAGGGTTGGGTTGTATTTTCTATTATTAATCTTGAACGATTTCACGGTATCCACCTCATGACTTGTATTAACAAGATGTCTGGCAATACCACTAATCAAAGCGTTCACTTTCTTGAGACATAAACTCTTCTGGTACATGTTCGGAGAATCCGGGATATACCCCTCTTTCTCCTCTCGCAGCGTAACCACTATCATAGATTCACGTGAATTTGTAAACACAATTTGAGTTAACATCAACCTTTGGTTAAACCAAAGAGTTTGTTGTTCGGCAAACGGGAACTAGTTTAGTGGCAGGATAGGTTCTGGCTAGTTATAAGTGTGGGGACTTAACTAGTGAGAATCATTCCACTCATGTTTGATACGCCGACTAACCTAGACATTTAGTTGGAAGATTAAGTGTTTAATGTTCATAATATTAACACCTAATCGCTAAACTGCTTCATTTATGAGACGACACTGTTCTTTTCATACTGATTTGTTATGAATAAGATATACCGGTTTATGGTATAATGTCCATAGGCTAGACTGTGTAAATATATTAGAATAATTGTGTACGAATTATAGTTTACTTACAATCTTGTACTTATTCGAAGCCTTCGATTGACAGTAGTAGAGAAGTCCTGGAAGTGCGTTTCATTCTGTTTAGTACTTGTCAGCTGGATATAACTGCACCTTTAGTAAGTGACGATGTTTTCATAGAGATTCGAACCCAATGCCAATCTTTTTTAACACCAGAAGGTTATCCACTTGGTTTCTGGTTGATAAGAACCACCTGTTGAGTGACAGTTAATGCTTGAAATTCTTTATGTATATTTGTATAATCCTACATAGTTCAGTAGTTTAACATCCAGCCTTTTACCCGCTGTCATCCTAATGCACATGAAAAGGAATCTACAGACGAAATCCCCACCCTAAATATGTCTTTTCAACATTCATCTGTACAAGAATTAAACAACAAATTTTCACTCAATATGCTTAAATTTTCTTTCCCTATTAAAAAATATTTATTTCAGGTAATCGCTATATTGAATTCTGCTCGTACTCGAAGTCCACTACCCGTGGCAAAAGATTTACAGAAAGCAATTAATCTGATCTGCAGTTCAGATGTATTTGTTGATCAAATAATGAAACCATTGAGTCGAACAAATGATCCAATAACAGCGGATTTAATTGAAGGATTGATAACAGTAAGTAAATGTTTTCAATTTCTAGTGTATAGTTTAACAATAATAATTATAATAATCATAATAATTTGCTTTATTCCCAAAGAGTACTTATGGCACAGTGTGGAATTCTGAGCATTTGGTACAGTTTTTTTCGTTTTTTTATTCCTTTACATTCTCAGTGGAACATAGGGCTTCAAGCTAGAGACTTGAAGTTTCGGTAGCAGTGGTGTTTATTTTTACGGGATGAGGTTGCTAGCCTCATGCCCGACCTTTCCTTTTTATTAGTCTTATTACCGGCTTAGCGAGGTAAAGGAGGGAGTCCGTTGCCTGAGATCGAATCCTTGACCACATTCCTGGTTGGCGAGCATTCTACCTCTGTGCCACCGACGCATTTGGTACATTACTGAATCTAATTTACTCAACAACATTAACAACGACAAAATAACATTACAGGGTATATGTAACCAAGATTTATAATAGCGACGTTTTTGGTATCAGCGGTAACAATAAAGTCAAAAATGTACAGCGAGTATAAAATGAAAATAATAATGATAATAACTAAAATTATAAAATAATTAAAATAATGTCACTATAAATTACAAATAGTAGAAGGTAAAAGAGTCATCCGTTTTGCTATTTACATAGTAGTTTGTAGGTTTCACGCTTAATAGTATTTTTGTCACATAGAATGGAGCCGAACCAAATAGAGTATCGTTGAGCTTTGTACTTGGTTGTGCAAATGAGCATTTAGTGTCTTATGATGACTTCTAGTCTTACTCAGTGAGGTACAAGGTGGGGAGAGTTGAGAATAGAAAGAATACGGAGAGTCGGACACATATGGATTTAGACCATTTCTCATTTGCGTTCAGGAGTCTGTCGACTACAATAGTGACCAGCCGCCTTACTTATACACTGTTTGCCCTACTGACGACCTTTTATAACGTTCGCAGTATGATATAAGGATATTAATGGAATTATCCCTTCTTCTATGTCTTCATCCGTTCTGTATCCCCACTTCTTTTGTTTCATTTTATCTATTCAGTAGTATATTTATTTTCGCTTGTTTGAATATGGTAGATCCATATTCTACCTAACGACGTTTTTAATTCATCTTCAGTCATCCCATTACTAGATGCAAATTCGCCTAGCAATCCACAGATATCTCATATTGACTCATTTCCTCTGTTTAATAAGGTATGATTCAAATTGGGATGATGTCTTTCTTATGATAATTGTATATTGACCTTGTTTTTCCAAAAAACCACATTTATCTCAACAGTGCAGTGCTGTCTGTATCCCCCCTTCCTACCCACTTTATGATACTGGTATCCTATTGGTTGTTGACTGTTTTAACTTATCAGTGTAACTAGTGTCCCTCAAGGCCACTTAAAGCATATACATAAATGTATTCAATTGCTGTCAACCCCTATCACTGTTGATTCGAGACAGTAAAAGCTCTCCACGTCAACAGTTTGTCTTCTCTTCTTGTCTCCTTGTGTCATGGTTCCTGTAGTATCGTGTGGTGTTGTTGTTGTTGGTTGACGAATCAACTAGGCAGGAAGTTCTTTAGTGCAAACTACCAAGTGTTTCAACTATCATATCACATCAGTTGCTCTTTATTCATTCACATGAAACTAACATAAAACATTTTCTGATTAAAATGAGATAACATCCAACCAATCAATCAAAATTCCCTACAAAAACCAATACTTAAAATGAGATAACTAAATGTCTATCTGGTCACTCAATGAGCCAGACTGTTAATCTCTAGATAGGTGATATGAATTCTTTTTAGACCAATGATTTCTTTTCAACGTCCATCAGCAAAATAACTGGACGGAATTGAATATTCAGCGTACAAATTCGCACTAAAATAAACAGTGGTCCCATTTGTCATACAAAAAGGTAGACAAAAGGAAATGCAGTGATTCTATAGTAAATTGAAATGTACGCAAATGCATTTGCGACATTGAGAAGGATTTCTGACCAAGCTGCCAACAATCCCAGGCCTTCGTTCCACAACCTCTTGAGGATCCCATTCAAGCAGTGCGAAACTCCTTACATGGTTCAAAAGAATAGTTTATGTCTTTGTGGAATAATTCCGCTCTTTTCATACCTAATTTTTGGTTAGACGTGTTCCAGCAGTCCGTAAATAGTGCGTTAAATAAAATCCACAAGTTGCTGAAAGTAAAAAGACACTGATTGAAACGGAATAATTGTTTGGAAAATCCCTTATGAACGATCTAATAACTTGTTTGTACGTTTCAACTAGCTTCGTAATTATTATCCGTTTTTCTGCTAGATTGTAGATCCTTGTTCTGACATTTGAATATCATATGTTGACTTGATCCTTATTGTTTGTCTTTATCCCGGTTGAATACCCAATTTTATTGCTTCTCTTTGTTATTTAGTGCACACTGGTAAGTTGTGATTTTGTTTGAATGAATCAAGGTCATTCTGACCTTGAACTCTCTGCGGGAAGCAGTAGTGTATGATTCTTGCAGGCAGATGTTTGATCCCACCCTGCTGAGAATATTCTACTTGATCCAAAAGTACTTCTTATAGTTGAATTTTTGTTAACTTATTTTGTTGTACAGTACTTGTTTTGCACTTTTAAAAAAGCCTACAATACCTGTATAACCAGCCATTCAACGTCTCTGTTGAGGTGATTTTGAGTTCTTGATGTTATTATCACTGTTGAATGGAATCATTCATGGATTCCAACCATGAATAATCGTCGTTTCACTGTCTTTTGAGCAGCGTTTTGTAACTGTGCATCTCTCAAGAAAGTTTATTCAGCTCTATAAAACGACGTAAACATCGATTTCTCGCTTTCAGACCAAAACGAATCGGCATTGATTGTAACACTGATACAGAAATGATGGGCGAACAGACGTTCTCTCAAACCTACCCTAATACATACAGCGATGTCTTGTTATAAAATGAGAGAACTGCTCATTTCACTTGTTAAAAAAAGAAGATGCTTAGATTTCTCACTAATGAACTCATACCCTTGAGAAAAGTTTTCGCCTTCTGTTTTATCACTTGATGTTTAATTGTCTCTATATAAACAAAAAGTAACGATTTTTTTTTCTATTAAAATAGCAAAGAAAATTTGTACCTCAGATGAATGTTTTTCATATTGTTGGCGTGTTCTGTTGGCTGGTTGATTTAATTGCGAAACTTTCATTGTCCTTCTTTTGGACAATATTTTCAACGTTAACTTTTCTGTTCACCTAGGTATAATCTTTGAAGGAGGACATTTCATCACCTGCCTTATTGACATAATTAAGACTAACGTTATGAAAAAGACAAACATTCCTTCTTTGAAAAGATTTAACAAATGCCTTATTGAAAGATTTAGTTTTATTTTCCCTAACTTGAACTGCTATAAATGAAAGAGCTCAACTGTACTAGATGTACTAGATGTTTTGTAAAACAGTCTGTGAACCACACTTATCATGTGAGAGGTGAAAGTCTTTCTGTTTGGTTTCAACATAGAACTTTGCACCGATGTGCAACAGTTCGAGTCGCCACATTCCCTCCTTGTAGCACACAAAACAAGAGAAGAAAGTAAAATGAAATGCAAAATAGGGACAGTAAACAGAGATATAAGACAAAAAGAATAGTAATATCGAAGAACAATATAGTTTCATTGAGTATTATAAGTCACAAGGAGTGGATGCATCTCTCCATCCCCATTGAGAACGATTTTGAGCCATATCACCGATTGTCACCAGCCATCGGTTTTTACCATCCTGAGGACCCAAACCAGCCAATCAGGAAGTCTACATCTTCTTACGTGGCTGGCTTAAACTTACTGTTGTGGATTTCATTGACGGATGAAGTCATGTTTTGTTTTGACATAGGTCAGCTAACAATGCTCGTCGAGCTGGCGATGGCTAGGCATGAACATTTCCAAAATCACACGAAGCCTTCCTGAGAGGTGATAGTACTACCCACTTACTCAAACCGGACTCGAGCTCAGGACCTGTTGTCTGAAAACAGAGATCCTAAACCAATGAGCCACATTTATATCTGATGCATACATTAAAAATATATACTTGATCCACTCACATTCAAGTTTATATAAATAATCATAACTACTCAAAGTGTTGATGAACTATTGTTGTAAGTATAAGTTGTATCAACATGGGGGAATATGTGTTTCTATTCGTAATTCTAAATAAACCTTATTCAATAATCCACTTTCATTTTTCAACAATTCACTAGGCATCAAATCTGTCTAAGGAACCAGAGGATCAACTTAAACTTCGATCGTTGGCGCATTCATTAAAAGGTAAGATCAGATGTATCGATGTATCTATTAAAGTTTTGCATGCTAATAATCATTAGCTCGAATATCTCAGTGATAACGTCCCTCACTGTAGTGCTGAGTGACGCAGATTTGAATTTCAGAGGGGTCATCAGTTCCTTCAAGGTTATTCATACGCCTTTCTGATAAGTGTCAGCTAGCACCAATTCTAGATCCCGAGCTTCCTGGTTTGAGGATACTTACTTCACTCGCTAAATCAAGTTCACTACCAGTCTCAGTATTATTGGATAGCCTATTATTGCTGGCGGATAGTTATGGTAATGATTTAACTGTTTATTTAGTTAGGTAGCCGTCATGTCAACTGACCTATAAGTTTAGAGAACACATTCTTAGAAAAGAAACTCCATGCGCACGCAACAGATAAATAAGAATATGCCAGAGGGACGAAGAATTAAAGGAAGATTAGAAGAACTTCTTAGAAAGTGAAAGATGATAAGAATTGAATACATGTCAATATGTGTGATTGACTTCCAACGATTTCAAAAAACAGTCTCCAACTATTGACTCTTAACATCCCTAAGACGTTAATTGGACAGTCCACAAGTATAAACTGATAACAGGAAGTTATTACACCTGGTTAATAGCAACATTTGCAACCAAACATTTATTCAAGAAAATAACAGTTTAGCTGCAGTTTAGTGGTGATTTAATACTTGAATGATGTAGTAATCACCACTGAATCCCCGATTTCTGGACTCAATATAGCTACACAGCGCTGATACCTCAGCGACTTGAAGAAACCGGTTGGTTATTAAATGCTTCTGCTTCATTCTAAATGATTATTAATCGAATGTGAAAATCCGGGGGAAAAATTAATTTTACTAACACTTGTTGATTACCGAAAATCTTATTCTTTTCTGTGATACTACACTAATTTCTAAATATATTTATACATATTTTCAGGATCAGACAGTGTTCTATCCCCTGCTGCAACTCTGCAGACCAATGCAGAGATTGAGGCCTGCCTGTCTAACTTTGATAAATGGGATTTTAATATATTTGACCTTGAACGTGTAACCAATAAGAAGTAAGTCCCGTATATAAACAATTCTGTTTTCCGTAAACTTTTATTCATTCCATACATTTTTTCTGCTCTTTTAATGAACTATATCGATACATCTTCACACAATAGTTTGGACAATATTAGCTGCATAACAGCCATTAAAGTCATCAATACATACTGACGAGTCCACTATCCATCCTTTATCCTTGACTAGCTGTGTGAGTACTGGTTAAGTTTTAAGGTTGAGTAACAGTCTAGCCATTCTCTAGACTGATCTGTTTAGTGGGCATTTTAGAATATCATATGAAGACATTCATATTAGTTTGACTTTCTTATATGAATCAATAAATAAGGGATAACATTCGATTGATGATTACTTGATGACTGATTATTTTTCACTGTGTAGCAGTTTGTTTATTAGATATACCACTCAGAGGGTGAAAGACCATTTTTCAAGTATTGGTTTTTATAGGGATTTTGTTTGATTGGTTGGAGGATTTCATCATGAGCTGACATCAGTTACGACCACTTCGTAATGTCATGTCGCGCTGTCATGAATTACTAGAAGTTAGAATTCATGGGCCATTGGATAGGGTCCCAGTGGCTTAATGGTCTACGAGCTTGCCTTGTAACCAGAAGGTCCTTGGTTCGAATCCCGGTGGGTGTGTACTGATGAAGAGTCCCAAAGTAGGACGAAACAACTGTCCAGTACTCCCAGGTGATTTTCCAATGGTTCTCTAACCGATGTCAGCTTATGATGAAATCCTCCAACCAATGAAACAGTATTGTTTACTGGATGACAGAGTTTCAAACGCAATTAATTATTGCTCATAATCATATAATCAATTTTAACTATATAACTTCAAAAATTTTGAAGGTTGAGACGATTCAGTTGACTTATGCATTGGAAAGTCAGGAAGGGGAGCTTCTAGTGTCAGAGTGTAGCGTAAAACGGAAAGAAGATGAGCAGTTTAACAATAGTGTTTACAGGAAACCCACACATTCAAACTGATATTTGGATTTCCGATCACTCCACTCTATTTCAGTAAAAATGGGATTGGTGAAATGCTTAAGTAATACGGCACAAAAGCTAAATAGTACCAAGGAAAATCTTAGACAGAAAGTGAGACATATGAGAGAAGCTTTGAAACTTAATGGTAACCCTGATAAATTAATCAGGAAGTATATAGGAAAATGCAAAAATAAAATTAAATAATAATAGTAGTGATAGTGATGATAATAATTAATGACGACATGCATGTCAAACATGCACAGAATAATGACAACATCAACAATAGAGAATTTAAATCACCAGTGTTACTTCCATACAGAGAAGGAGTCTCGGAAATCTTACGAAGAATTCCTAATAATACAGACAGGAATAAAAGTGGCATTCAACCCACCCACAAACTCACTTAGAAACAAACATTGTTGGTTGAAGGGTCTACCCTGTGGAGCTAACTGGACAAAGCAATTTAGTTTATCTAATACCTTGTCTGCAATGATTGTCAAGTCAAATACATAGGTCAAAGTAGTAGAACGGAGTCAGTCAGACTTGTGGAGCATAAAAATCTAGCAAAATTTGGATTAGTTGACCCAAACAAGATAAGAAATCTGAAGAATGGCTCAGCTGTAGATAGCATTGCATGCAATTACACACGATCACATAACACAACAGGATGGGAGAGGATGACAGTTCTAAAATCTAATTTAACAGGGTGGAGGAAGAGCCATGGAATCCATGATGTATATTTCATGCTGGTTTGGATTCGTTAGCTGGATGAACCTGTTTTCCAGTGATTAATTATATCCCTATTGATAAATGGACCCAGCATCTCCATCGCCTGTGAGATATTAAATCCAGTTAACAATTTCTGAATGGGACGAAATGGGCAACTTCGATTATACAATCTAACAAACATAATCATGTTGACCTGCAGAGATAATCTAAGATTCCATCCTGGGAGCCGATATCTACATGCAGGTCCAAAATTTTGGCAACATATAAGTCAGTCAGATGAAAATGAAAGACACCTTGGATGGACATTATAGCTAATTTTGTTTCATTTCTACAGGAATTCGTACAACTTCCTGGCATCGTGTTTACGCTACTTTTTAGATGCATTTTTAGGGTGGACATCTAATAAAATAATTATATGACAGGCTAAATTAACACAGCCTACAATCGAGTGTGCTCTGGATACTGATTGAAAAAGTGAATAATCAATGACTGTTAGACGACTGAATGACCAATGACAATCATTTGCCTTGATAAGTTTACATATCGTTATTGAGAAACAAAGTTAACCTGAAAAAGGTTTTGTGATGTCATTGCATAATACACTGCAACACTCTGATCACACATCTACTTGTCAGTGTTAATTTATGTGAAAATAGAGAAGTGGAAGCTCAGTTATTAAAAAAAGCAAAATAATAACAGCTCCAGGAGTAAATGGGGCGATTATGAACACTAATATTGGTAATCACTGGATGCAGAACTTCGACCGGAACAATCTTGATTCAGGAAAATCAAATCGTTTGCGGATTAAACAGTAATTCGGTGCATCATCATCGAAAAGAGAATGGAGTCCCAATCAAAAATCAACCTCAGCTTAATCTACTTCGAAAAGGCCCTCGACAAAGTTGGCCGTGAAGTAATTCTAAAACTACTTCAATACTATGGAGTGCAGTAATCTAGGTCTTTAAAGACCTCATTCAATAGCTATATAACAATACCAGGTCTCACAGTGGAAAACTCACTGGAGTAAATGAAGTCAAGGTAGGAATAAAACAAGGTTGCCTACTGTCACCGATGATATTCCCAATTGTCGTGGACTGGACTGCGCGGAATACCGTACGTGGGGTGCAAGAAGACAGGAATAGGTTGAACCGACAAGAAGACTATAGAAGATTTGGATTTCGCGGATGATTCATGCTTTATGTCACAGAAAATCGAAGACATACAAGCGAAAATCAACAAGCTGGCAGAAGAAGCAGACACAAGAGAAAGGACTTCAAGCTAACAAAGAGAACATGGAGGTAATGTAGATAAACAACCAATAGCAACACAAACGATTACTAATCACTATTATCTGAAGAAATTTGAAAGAAGTCAATTCCTCCCTCTTTCTGTCCAGGTAGCATCGTTTCAACTACAGGTGACAGCACAGATGAACAATGTCAAAAAAACTAGAATCGTTAAGACAAGGCTAACATTCATCAATGTGAAATCAGTTTGGAAATCTTCTGCACTCCGCGGTATAAAGAACAAGATTCGGATTTTCGACACAAATGTTAAATCAGTCAGTGCTTCTATGTGGGTCAGAAACTTGGCAAGCGCATTACATCCACCTGATGAGTTACAAACAGGGTGAAATCTGTATCTTGGTTTCAACTGTTAACTGCCATTTTCTAAACCGTCAAACTGGAGGTCATTTATTACAGATACAACTCAAACGAACACTGTATGATTACAATTCTCTAGTCTTTCGCATGCCTAGCTAGCTGCTTCTGTAAATTAATTCTTATTATCCTTTTTTTCTTTATTTTCAGACCGTTGACATATTTAGGCATGAAGATATTGAATAATTTTAATGCTCTCAGTGTACTGCGTATACCTAGTCAAGTGCTGATTGGTTGGTTGACAGTTATTGAAGAACACTATCATGTGGAAAATCCATATCATAATGCAACGCATGCTGGTGATGTTCTACAAGCCTCAGCCTACTTTTTACAACACAGTTTAATAAGGGTAAGCTAATTTTGTATTTGTTATATATGTAATAACACCGGCAAATTTTTTATTTCACACTTTATGTCGTTCCCTAGTATTTGGTATTCTTATTGATAGTGAGACTGTTTGAGATAGACTTGAGACAGTTTGTTGTTATCGAAGTACTGTGTGATGGTTGAAGGTGACATGAGAATCTAGTGGTTGAATGTTAACTTGACTTGTAACCGGAAGGTCCTGGGTTTGAACCCTGTTGATGAGCGCGTACTAATGATGAGTCCAAAACTAGGACAACAAAAACAGCTGTCCACTACTCCCTGCTTGTTTTCAGCGGTTCTCTGGCTAATATCAATCACTGAACAAACTTGAATCAGCGGAGATAATTAATTTAATCCTAAGTTCGGTTGCGACCTGATTCCAACCAGCCACCATTGAATTACTATTCTGGAGCGACTTACTAGCCACTAAGCAGTTCATTATTCCACTGTAATTGTTATATGATTAGCGTGGACATCACAAATATATATCTACAAGCTCCCCGCCTTGTAGCCTGAAAGCCCTGGGTTTGAACCCCGTTGATGGATGGGTACTGATGAAGAGTCCCAAACTAGGCTGACGAAACAGCTGGCTGTCTATTACTCTCAGGTTTTCCAGTGGTTCTCTAACCAATGTCAGCTCATGATTAAATCCTGTAATCAATGAAATCCCTGCAAACGGACACTTGAATATTAAAATATTCTGTCTAAAGCCAACAAAAATTAGACAAATCATTGAAATAAAAGGATATGGTTTCCAACACAATCAGTGTGAGTACTTTGAGTTGAATCATATTGAACGATGTAAAGATGAGTAGATAAGAATTAGAAAGAAACCGGCGACTGATCCCCAGTCTTCTCTGTGTTAGAAGTTCACATTATCAGTAAGAGAACATGTAGTTTTCCAAAGAATAGCTTTCTATACATTCGAAGAAACGATTTAAGCAACCAGATACGTATTTTCGAGTCTTAATTTCCATCTACCAAATTACATAATAAAATATCAGTCGTAGATATCTGAAACTGTGCTGTTCAATAATATCAAACAGAATCGAAGAGATTGCAAATAGAATAATGCTAATAATAACTGGGACAACTTTTCTAAGTAGGCGTTGAAAGATACTGGAGTGAGAGGCCTTGAACAAACCTTTGTTGAACACAAGGACTAAGCTGGAAATTTGTCTTATTGTGACTGCCACAACTATGCGTAGCAGTCGAAGGCGTAAAACCTTACAGGATTAAGGTGGCACCTTGTATAGGGTTGTAAAGACGGAATTTTCATCAATCCTGTGATCTGTATCTCCGAATTATGGTAATATGGAACTTCTGATTGAATTTACAACTTCTTTACCTAACCATCCACGTTATACAGTGTTCCAGAAGGTGACGGGGGAGGGGCCTTCCTAGTCATTCTACCCTTGTAACTGTCAGTAGTGGTTTTCTTGGCTTCCGTCGTTTTTAGTGGACACAGAGTGAAGAGGAAGTGAGGAGCCATCAAGTAGAGGAGTTGCATCAGTAGAAGGAAAGCAGGATAATAGAGATGAAGGCAAAGATGAGTGAGGATTAGAGAGGTTTCGCGTGCATTTCAGATTGTGAGGGCGATTGTTACTTCCCAGCTGCCCACACCGTGGAAGTTGGTTGCGTGACCACAGAGCCCAGGGGACAACTGCTTGAAGCCAGTCACACGCGGTCTGTTTTTGTTTGTTCTTTCTTGCTTGGTGTGTGTCAGTAGCATATTTATCAGTTCTGCCCTGTGACACGGCAGCAGGAAGCGTGGTCCCTGGCCCCGACCGATCTGGCATGATATTTTGTGACCTCAAGCGACATAAGTCTCAGCCAGTATAGCTTGTTGGGTCATTGTGGTGTTCGAGCCCAACCATCACGTCAAGGTAGCAGCTTTCGATCTAACTGTCACCAGAAGAGCAGTTAAATTTATAAAGCCGCACTGAAGCGGGCAACAGTAAAGAATAGACACCACAGTCGAATGACCTTGAACCAACCAGTCGGATCACTCAGCACTACAGATTGATGCTTTCCACAATATTCGTTGCAGTTTCATCCTGATTCAGGATTAAAGTTAGGGTAGGATCAAGGTAGGATTATGATTAAGGTTAGAGTGAAGCTTGCAAAGAAGATTACGAAAAGCATCCAGTTGTAATCCTGAGCAGCGATCTGATTGGTTGATTTAAGGTAGTTTGACTGTGGTGTCTGTTCCTCACTGTTACTGTGAATGCTAATGATGAGGTTTCCCTAGGCTTGTAGTTGGCTACAACTAAATAAAACGACTGGTACTCTCTAACTGCAATGTTGAAATGCCATCTACGGAACACGATAGGCACGAGATTTTCTCTACATTTTGTTAGAATAGGTATCGAGGACGCAAATAACTTTAGTCACACTAATAATCTTTCTCATATCAAAGCAAATCATCCCTACGGGAGGCAGATAAAAAGCTTAGTGACACGAATTAGTGAAGCTAACTATCTCTGACATACCATAGTGTTCCTTGAATTCCCTCCTGATGGGAGATAATAGTCACAGAAATGATTTCAAACTGAGATTTTTCACTGAAAACATATTCTGAATAGCAGACAGACACATCAGCAGAAGGAAACGAAACTATTCTGCGTCAGTGAAAGCATTTTCCACTGGCCAGAGACTTACACCGACTTCATCCTTTGCTCGATTCAGAATTTTAAAGAACCACCTGGAAAGTATATAGGCAAGCAGCAATGAACTCTGGCGGCGAATCAACTAAGAACCCATTGCTTATATTAGATGTTTAGAGACAATCGTCAGGAGCTGACCTACGTTTTATGCTGGTTGGTAATCACCAGTCAGTCAGCAAATTGTGTCTGCAATCACCTTGGAGAAACTCATGTTTCTTCTGAGATTTGAACTCGTATCACCACCCACGGAGTGCTGCACTCAGAGACATTACCAATGAGCTATTCAGACTCGCGATTGACCTCCTGTATGGTTGTATTATATACTTTGGTTGGTCACTAGCTATTAACTAGAATGATGGCCACATTACAAACTTGATTGATTGAGTTCAATCTGCACTAAGCAAGGGACTAGAGACATTACACTAGTTATTAACTAGTGTCTGATGATACCCATTTCTTAGCAAAGATGTAGAACGGATTGAAGATTGAGTGGACATACGTCTAGGAGAAATTTAAATGACATCACTTGTATGGACATTGAGTGGAATCCAAATGAAAGCTGATGTATTGAGTATGGGTCCAAGTGTGAAAAAGAAAAGGTCATGTGAGAAGGAAATGGAAGCTAGTGAGGAGTGATACACCCAGGGGAAAATCGCCTCAGATAGCAGAGTGCAATGCAGATGTGCTCCTGAAGCCCTATCTTTTGCAAAAAAGCAGAAATAACGTAATAATGCCTCAAATTCTCATTTTTGCTGATATTTTCATTAATTTTTCAGTAAATTCCTCTACGAAATGATATAAATTCGAGTACCATGGAAATATAAGGAGCAATAATTGATAGCTCTTTCTATTCCAACTTCAGACTTTTTACCAATTTGCACAAATGATCCCATCTAGGATTGAACTCACTACCTTTCTTTCATGAAGCCAAACTGTTTATCTTTCAGTCAATAGGTTGTGATCCGAAGACCTGTTAATTCAAAATTCCCTCGATTCACGATAAATATACCACCACCGCGAACTAGTGCTATCTCTAAGCATCCGTTTCAAAACTGACTTAGTATACCCCACTGGTGTACGACATCTCATTAGAACTTCGGGGAAACTATTAAGTATCCCGAACAGACGGGATGTTTATATTCACAAATTGAGTTTTGTATGGAATTTGATTCATTGTACTGTAGATTTGAAATTACAAAATACGTTCTGTATTTTACTACTGAAATAACTGTTGGTTGGTTTCTATAATTGCTTCTTCCCTTCTTTCACTTTAAAAACTTATTTTTTCTTAAACTTTTTCTGCTAGTCAATATACACAAATACTGATGAAGTGGCAACACTTCTAGCCGCCATTGTACATGATGTCGATCATCCGGGGAGAACTAATCCATTTCTTGTGAATAATAATGATCCATTGGCAATTCTATATAATGATATGTAAGTGGATTTGTGTGTGCGTGTGTGTATTTTATGTGACCTTGTTTTTATTGTAAACGTGTTTTGTGTCTCGTTTCGTCATTTGTCAACTTACGTCATATCTGGCTTCATAGACGTGATATCCAACTGGCGTGTGTACTACTCAGTAGCACTTCTCTCCATCCTCCTTTATGACTCAGTGAGGAATGGCCATTGAAAGTGGAAGACATGAAAAGCCTGACTAACTAGCTGGCTGTCTTTCATTGTAATTGTCTGCGTTCTCACTACATCCCATGTTAGATCGTAGGTATAATAGAGTAGGTGAATAATATTGAGGTTAGGCTTCAGTCGAGTGTTAGGTAGACAAGGAGAGAGAATCAATAAACGAGGTTGTGAAGTAACATTGGTTGAGTGAGATAGTTAGGACAACATGTGTTACGCATCTATGCCTAGCTATCTCCCCCCTTCCCTGACGGGAAATGTTAGCTAATTGACATGGGATGCATCAGGTCGGAGAAGAGCCAGCTAGTGGTGATGAAACCAAGCCAGTCAGCCAACCGGTGACTTAAAGAGGTGTAGACTGGCCGGCTGGCTGGTTGTGGTCCTCGGGATGGTAAGAATCAATGACGGCTTTAGACAGACAATTGGTGATACGGTTCAAACTCCTCGATCACAATGGAATTGAGGAGATGCATTCACTCTTTGTGAGTGGTTTGTCACATCCATCCAATAAAACTGTATTGTTTTTGCATATTACCACTATTCTTTTCCCCTCACTAAAACTTCTGTTTATTGTCTCTCTCTCTCTTATGAATCTGTCTTTACTCTGTTCACATGGTTTGTATGCTACACGGAGACTCGCGAGTTGAACTGGTTCACTTTTGAGCAGAATTCTATGTTGAAACCAGGCAGCTAGTCAGAAAACTGGTCACTAGTTAATTTTACAAATTGATATTGTTCGAAATATTAAGAGGACGGAGTAATTGCCATTGGTTTATATCTATGACGAAATTAAGTGTGTGAAATAGCTTCGCACATAATGTGCAGAATCCATTCGCTTCATCAAGGACATTTCAAGAAAGCCTAGAACTCAACGATCCTTCCTCAATATTGTTCACTGCGGTGGAAACACTTATCATTTCTAGGGATAATGTTTCTTCTCATTTTGAAACTCTTTAATGGAAACACAAACGATTAGATCTGTAGCCGATTTTTCTCATATTAACTTTCATACGGAAGTTAAAGATCACGTGTGTGTTATCTGCATAACAACAGAACTAGGTAAGGTGGTAATATAATTCGGGTTTTAGTTAGTGAGTCCTTTTTACAACGATCATTTTCTTGTCAATGACTAACAGTATGTCCACGATACTTCAGCATGAAGTTAGTTGACTGCTGTAGTAAGTGGTAATTTTTAGAAAGGAAAAGAAAAAGCCAGGAATCTCTGAAAATTTGCAATTAATAGTGTTCTCTGTGCTGGTTGGTTTAGTTGCGGAGCTTTCGTCGTCCTTCTGGACAACATCTTCAGCGCAATATTTAGCATAAAATGAAATGATTTAAATTTTTCATGAGGGATATAATTGCGTCTCACGGTAACCATCTTTACATATGCTCCGCAACTAAACCAACCAGCTCAGAGAACAATATTAATTGCAAATCATCCACCTGAGCTACAAATCTTCTCTGTTATTTCAATCTCTGAAAATATTCTCTAGTAATTGAGATAATTTGAAGATTTTCGGAGAATCATATGGTCATATGTTTCACTATAGGGGTTGATCAAGAATGTGAAATACCCCAACGACAGTCTGGAAATATTCAGTGAGATTTTATATAAGTGGCTGTATTTTGTAGATGACTTTGTTTTATTACCATTTCCGCTCCTTAGAAGTCATATACTTACTTTAGATTGCAGATAAGCCTCCAAAACTATATCATCAACATCACACGTCCAGTAATTTTTATGAAAACGGGGAAAAATGTCCTATGAGTGTAAGGTAGTGGTGGGGAGTTTGGCGCTGTTGCCATTTCTTAGCCGTCAAAAAATTGACAGACAATCTATTTGGGTTCAAGTGAATTCGCGTTAGCCTTAAATAAACAAAGTGACAGATCAACAGACAACAAATTTTTGATCATTGATACTGATTGAATTTTGCCTATACGACATAATTGCCAACTTGAATGACTCGACTGAATTTTCAACATGAAAGTGCGATCAGTCATATTACTATACTTCACAGAAACATGGCGTCGTTTATTCAGCGGTAGAAATCTCGTCAATCAGTCAAATAGCCCGTGGTTCTATCACCAGTCGGCAAACACCTTTACTCTCTCTAGCCAGTTGTAAGCCCGACATAGACGGAAGGTTGGGCGAAGGTCTAGTAATCCCACCCCATAAAAAAGCATGACTTCCACTGAAACCTCAGAGTTTAAACTTGAATATCTATATTCCACTGGGAACTAATGAATAAGAAGATCATGAGAACATACACAAAGCTAAAAGAAAAAGGAAGTTCAAGGTAACTATAGCTAACAGAAGTGTGCAGGGGGAAGATTAGTTACACGGAGAATAATGCAAATTTCATGAATCGGATAGATCACAGCGAACAAGTCCATCTACGCTACCGAGAATGATTTTCAGCCACGTCAAGAAGTTATGTCTCCAGGCTGTGATTCTTAGCATCTTCATGATACCAACCAAACGGTATATACCAACAGTCGGATAGATGCGATATTTTGGCTTGACCACATTTCACTGCTTTCCGATCCACATTATATCACCTGACATTGCTGGACGTGGAAGGTGACGGTTCGGCACACTTGCCTTTTTTCTTAAACAGTCTGGAGGATACATCATCGCTTGACTCTTTGTTGGATTTTAGCAGATTTATTTTGAAACCAAAGCTGAATGATTCGTGATAGATGTCTACCTTTTGGGAATGCTATTTGAAGCCATTCTTTCAAACAGCAACATTTGGCGGAGACTAACAGGTACTCTGATAGATAGAAACTTGATAAAGACTATACATTTATGCATGTTTATGTCGGAGGTGATGAAGATAACAACAAGCACCAGTCACAATCAACGGGAGAGATTTGACAGAGGTTACTTCCTTCACTTATCTAAGAAATATTGTTTCAACTGCAGGTAACAGCACGTATAACGATGACAAAATCAGCCTGGATCGAAAAGGTAAGACACACCTTCATCACTCTGAAATCGGTTTGAAAATCTTCTGTATTTCACAGCAGAAATAACAAAATTCGAATTTTCGACACCAATAGTAAGTAAGTCCCTGCTTCTATGTGGATTAGAAACTTGACCACAGTGTCACGAAAAGTGTTTCGGACAGGCTACTGCACACTTTTATGGACAGCTGCCTTCGCTTCATACTGAAGATCAGATTGCTGACCAGAGAGAGTTAGCAACAAGAAACTCTGCGAACGAACCAGTCGGCAACCTACTGGTTAACAAATATGGTGAACGCAATGGAAATAGATTGGACACACACTGAGGAGACCGTTGGGTGACATCACTCGAGTTGAATCCAAATGGGAAACGACGGGTTGAGAGTTCGAGGGTGACATGTAAGAGATTGTATGAGCGGAGGTGGGAGACTATGGGTGTTCGTGGGGTCAGCTGAATGCGACCAAAGACAATAGAATGAAGTGAAGATGTGCTACGGAAGCCATATTTTCCACTAGGGACTTAAGAGGACAATAATAATAATGTCGGCTATAATTCCAATCCCTAAAAGACAGTATATGAAGAACAAGATGGAGAAAGAATAATGAACATCAACTTGGACATATGATTGTCAAAATTTGAAATCATCAGCACAGTGGGAAACTAGTTTGAATAATTTTAGTTGAGAGATTTCCACTAAATCTGGCGAAAAATGAACTGTTCTTAGTTTTAGAATTCATTAATGTTTCTCTTTATGCTGAGTTTAAAAAAAATAATAAATCTGCAATAATTTAGGCGCTTTTATCACTATGATGATCATCAATCACATGAAAGGAAAACATGCAAACGACTGATGTGATTACGTAATTCATTTCTGCCTCTCTTTTCGCCTCCTTTTTTTTAACTCGACCATACTTTCTTTTTCATCATCAAGTCTGTAGTTTTATCTGTAAATTTGAAATCTCCATCTTTTCTGTCGAATTAATCTCACATCAACCCGAGTTAATAGACGTCTCTACTATGTCTCCGTGTCCTGGTTGCTTCACAGCTTTTTGTTGAGTATAGCTCATTGATCTGGACTCATAAGTAATCTAAGAAAGCTAAAAAGCTACTCAAAGATGAAAATATATGGCAAAAACTCATGACAAATCTCATCTAAATACTGGACAACCACATAATTTGATTGGACATTAGTCAGTAACTAGTGTAATGTGTCTAGTCCTTTTTGTCGGTGCAGACGGAATTCTGTCAGTCAATTCTGCAAGGTGGCCAACATTCTATGTGGCCTGCCATTACGGTGCACTTTGTTTTGCTGATATTAAATGGTTGGAAGCAATCAGCACGTAGCATCGCTTGACTTGGGTTTTATGCTAGTTGGCACTCACCAGTCAGTCAGCAAGGCGTAACGCAATCACCTTGAAGGAATTCATGTCTCTTCTGACCAAAACGCCAAACAAAGGACTAGACACATTACGCTATTTACTAATTAGTGCCCGATCAAAGTATTCAATACAGTCCTACAGGAGGTCAATCGCGAGCCTGAATAACTCAGTGAAAACGTCTCTTACTGAAGAAGTGCACTGAGTGACATGAGTTTTAGTCTCAGAAGGGACACAAGTTCCTCGAAGATTGCAGATATTACTTACTGACTGACTGGTGAGTGCTAACTAGCACGAAACCTAGGTGGAGGAAGGCTTCCTACCGATTGTCTCCAACCATCTAATTTCAACGACCACATTTAGGGAACAGGCCACATTACAAAAGAAGATCAATGGTGATTAAAATCCAATGGACCAATTCTATCCTGATTCTACGCCAGGCCCAGAATATACAAATCAAACATCCCCTTACGACTAATCATATCACTCCCAGGAACCCAAAACATTCAATTTATCCGAAGAACTATAGAGAAAATTGAGTCATTTAACTGAATCCTGCCATCAGCCTAGCGATTCTTCAACCGACTTTTTTAAAGAAAATCAAATTCATCCAAATAGAGGACCAACAAAAATGACATTATCCTCCGATGTTACAGCATTATATATTTCGAATGGATAGGAAACGGCAAAACAAACCATGGAGCAATTACTTAGCAAAAGATCAGCACCTCCCACGACACTCAAGTTGGATGGAACGCATAAATCTTCTCATATGATTATGAGCAATAAACTGTGACCGAAACGTCATCAGTAAATAGTACTGTATAACACTGTCGGACTTTATCAAATAAATTTTCTCCATAGCGGATTTACACTCCACCCCCCCCCCCCGGAATGCCTAAGTTCTACTCTTGTAGCAACCAGATATGTTTTTTCTCCTTTACAACCTAACTAAAAGCCCACAGCTAACTTCAGAACTGATTATTCTTGGAGTTCATTGAAAGCCATAGCTGTCTGAAGAAAAACACAGGAATCCAAGCAGCTATGACACTTTATGACTGTATGTAGATGTTGTACTACCTGTCCAAATATTTCATTATCACCATATATGCTGCTACATTTCTTTCTCCAAGCAACATACTGTCAAAACTATTGCCATTGTCAGAGCACTTATACATAAACCTCATGCCTAAATGACTTTTGAACATGCTTAGAAGGTTGTGAGTCTCATCAAGGTCTTCACTGGTCCTCCTATCTTTATACTTTAGCTAAAAAAAGTGAAGTGTACATCTTTAGATTCTAAAGGGTTTATTTTCAAAAGCGGATTCCCAGAAGACTCGTCTTAAGGCTCATACTTCTGTAGAATTTACAGTAATTAAGTGGGGAATTGTGAGCTTACACATACTGTATGAAAGCCTGCTTAAAATTTGGGCTACCGAAAAACCTACGTCAATATATTACGCATAATTTCTCTTATTCAGTTTGTTTAAATCTAGTAAAATATGACCTCTAATAGTGTTATTTACTCTGACGAGTATTTAAAACATTTACGATTTCGAGAAATTTTATTAAACATGAGAAAAAGCATTACTGTCGACGGCACCTTATACCAGTATATGAGACAATTGTTCCTGGGTCGTGTCCTTGTTTCATAAAATGTACTCCTGAACCTTTTATAATTGGAATTGAACAAAATGTCGTCGAGTATTTCTCGAATGAAACAAAGAAGAGATATCATAATGGTGGATTGGTTGGCGCTTCATGTCAGATTGAGAACTGTGTCACACGATCTACTGTCAGTCAATTAATCTTTTTTATTTGTAGATCCTGAACAATGAAGAGGAAATATCATGGAATAAACTCCGCTGAAAATTCTGTACATTATATAAACATTGTTCAGAATAAAGCTTTGATTATTATTATTACTATCATTACTACTTAACAACTTAGTTATTGTGGACGTGTAAGGGGATTAATTTAGCGATTCATTTATTGAAACATATCTCCTACTCCTTGTGGAAAACAGCTCTATCTATTGGATGTTTTAATGGGTTTTTATGCCTTTCAATGAATCATACCCGTTGCATTGAAACTTTTTAATGAAAATGGCGGCATTCACTTTTAACCCTTTCTTAACACTGTTTGTTTTTCTTCTGTTAGCGCTGTCTTGGAAAGTCATCATGTGGCGTTGTCATTTGAGTTAACCCTGAGGTCACCGGAAATCAATATTTTCCAAAATCTTACTCGGTAAGTAACAGTTTTTGTATATCCTTCCTGAGATATTGTGATATTTTCTACAATTATTTCCCGTTGATAAAATTTGACAAATCAGAAATGATATTTATAATTATTATTATTGTTCCCTTGGGTTGCAAAAGAGTCATAGGGCTTCAGCAGCACGTCTCTTATTTTGTTCTGTTCTCAGCCCTCTTCATCAGCTGGCCCCACGACTTCCCACTGTCTGTTATCCCCTCTTCACACGAACTACTACGTGTCACTTTCAGATACATGCCTAACCCACTTTTCCTATTCGGATTTTACTCGGAGAATGGCCTGGCTGGTGTGTGATGTCATTTGACAGTGTCCTCAGTGTTTGTCCAATCCATCCCCATTTTCTTTTCCACATTTTTAAGCAGTAGGTTCTTCGCTTTTTCATTGATGTAGCTGTAGAACCTGGGCACTACGGTAGCAAAAGGTAGTAACAGTCAAGGTCCCTTTTGCCTTGCGACTATTTTTAACACCTTGAGAATGTTTGCAGTGACCAAACCCAACTCGTTGTGGTCTAAACGCAGAGAATCAATCCTTTCTTCATACTGTATGTCTGTCTGAAACTCCCTTGATAAAAGCACAGTCACAAAACGCTAATCCAAAGACAGGAAAAAGATGATTCTTTGTAATTCGAATCTATGTATCGTTCTATTTAGCAATTGATAACATCGAAAACCCAAAATTACCTCAATATTTCTGTTAGACAGCTATTCAGACAATGTAGTTTTATAAGTGCAAAACAAGTACTGTGGTACAAAATTAGTTAATTGAAATTCAACTGTAAGAAGAACCTTAGAATCAAGTAGAATATTACGAACAAGGTGGAGTGAAAAAGTCTGCCCACAAGAATCACACACATTAAGGCTTCCCACAGAAAATCCAAGGTCAGGTTGATCTTCATTCACATAAACAAAACCTTACGTACAACACATTATCAATGCACAAACAATCACAAAGAGAAGCACAAAGAACAATGTCAGCTCATGACGAAATTCTGTAACCAATCAAATCCCTGCAAACCAACACTTGAATACCGATGAGATGCTCACTAGCGACTTGCCCTATTCAGGTAGGTAGTTACCTGGGTTCTAGTGAGAAGTCATGACCAGTAGGGTGCAGCAGGTAAGGCTGGTGTGAAGACGAATACTCACATAGGTTATTGGCTAGAGGTTGCGCTATGTCGTGATTTGGCAGAAGTTGGAATTCACGGGCTGGCCATTGGATCGGGTCCCAGTGGCTGCTGAATGGTCTACGAGCTCGCCTTGTAAACATTAGGTATTGGGTTCAGATCTAATGTGGTAGGTGCGTACTGCTGAAGTGCCCCAAACTAGGCTGACGAAACAGCTGGCTGTCCAGTACCCCCTGGTGGTTTTCCAATTGTTCTCTGACCGACGTCAGCTCATGATGAAATTCTGTAACTTGTCAATCAAATCCCTACAAACCAACACTTAAAGAAGCATTAAAGTTCGAGATTAAATAGGGACGAAGACAAGTAATAAGGATCAAGCTAACATATGATTTGCACATGTCGGCGTATCCTTGGCACACCAATAGAATACTCGACAACCACGCATGTGGTTCGGCGTCCGATCCCTGGCCGGAGCACTCCTTTGCCTCTATAAACCAGTAATATGACTTATAAAGAGGGAAGGTTAGGCATGAGGCCAGCAACCCCATTCGGTAAAAGTTAACCCCACTGCTAACGAAACTTCTAGCCTCTAGCTTGAAACACTATGTTCCACTGGTAAAGTGAAGGAATAAATATAATAATAATAGTACAAATGTCGAAGTAATGATATACATTTCACGAGAAAAACATTCATATGAACTGTGATCAAGATTTGAACGAAAAGTTTCAAAATAATTTAGCGCTAAGTACGAAGTAGATATGTGTAAAAAGTGTATTTGTTAGGTCTCAGTTAAGAACTGAAATAAGTAATTCCAACGTTTCTTGAGTTCGGCGAATTCATCCGAACTTTTCCAGGCAAATTAATCAAATTAATATATATATATATATATAAAGGAAACATTTTGTCTGTGGAAACCTTGTCCAGTCATTTGAGTCATGAAACAGACATTGAAATATAATAAACAAACAAAATTGCATGAACTCTGATCAAAATTTGACCATAGACTTACAATTATTAGTCTACTTTTGTTAAACACTGTAAACAGTGTGTAATTTTGCATCGGATTTTTAGTGATTACGTTCGACTAAAGTTCATGGTAATAAATAATTGAATATGAGAAATATATACGTGTATGCAGTATACAGGTGCCGCAAATAATTATACACCTCATCTAACAGTTGTACGACAATACTGCATGCCAAGTGATCTACAACGGGAAACTCACGAAATCCTTCGAAATGAAGACGGGAGTAAGACAAGCTGGCTGCCTACTATCACCAATGATTAGTTTCCTGATTTCGGTAGACTGGATAATGCGACAATCAGCGGGCCGGTCAACGAGGAAACACGCATAAAATGGACTCACACAAAAAATTTGGAGGATCTGGACTTCACTGATGTGGTGTATGTCTGATTTCCCACAAACTGGTAGATATGCAAGTGAAAAGCAACAAGTTGGCGGAAGAAGCATCCAGAGGAGATAGGACTTCCTTCAGGTGACCATAGAGAAAACAGAGGTAGGTGATGAAGATTCCTGGCCAACACCAACAGCAACAATAACAGACAACAATCAGCCAGCATAAATGGGAGAAATATGGAAAAAAGCAACCTCCTTTACCTACTTACTTACTACCTGGGAATCATCGTTTTAACTACAGGCGGACGCAACTGATGAGGATATCATCAAAGGGAGGATCTGGAGGGCAAGGCAAGCTCTCATTTCTCTCAAGTCTGTGTGGAGATCAACAGCACTCAGCATCAAAAATAAGATCCGGATTGTCAACTCCAATGTGAAGTCAGTGCTACTCAATATGCGGATCAGAGACCATTAAAGGCACTTCGAACAAACTACAGACTTTCATCAACAGCTGTTTTCGCTCAGTTCTGCTCAAGATCAGATGGCCGGCCAGAAACGATCAGCAAGAGGGTGGGATCTCTGGGAGTGAACCAACCCAGCAGGAACAGATTGTACAGCAAATATGGAGGTAGAAATGGAGACAGATTGGCCATACTCTGAGAAAACCATCAAGTGATATCACACGCCGGGGCATACCTCGAATGTAACCTGAATGGGTAGTGGCGAATCGATCGTCAGTGCGAGGATGACATGGAGGTCATGCGAAGAGGAAATGAAAGCATGTGGGCAGACGTGAAGCCAGGTGAAAACGTTGGCAGAGAACCGAACTCAATGGAGGCGTGTGGCTAAAGCCCTATGTTCCTCTAGGAATTAAAGGAAACAGTAATAAATAATAATAAATGCGGTATACAATTCTGTGTGTGTATTAGGGAACAATTGTAGACACTTGTTCGCCTCTCTATAAGAAGATATGGACAATCGGGAATTTAGATTATGTATAACTGATTAATGATACATATCCATTTTTAATTAATAATCAGGACTTGCCATGCATCAGCTAATAACACAACACGTGTCAGATATCCAGATCGCGGAGATCCTGAACCTATCTCTGGTTTCAGAAGACTAAGCCTAATATTCAAAATACTATGCACTGTAACCGACACAGAACAACAGAAAACAATTGGGCAGCACGACTGTTTACTCTTCAAGAGATAACGAAACAGATTTACAATGGTTAATCACTGCCAAAGTCTCTGAATAAACGTTTTTATTTTTTTATTTTCGATTACAGCTTGATGCCACACCATATTTTCAGTACATGTATGGAATTTTCAGCATGGATATCGGTAGCCCAAATTTTGCAGGCCAACCATAGATATCGGGTGTGCGTCGGCAGGGGATCGAACCCCGGACCATGTACATGGTCGGCGAGAGTCCTAACCACTGTGCCACCGACGCACAGTACTTCCGATCGCATTTCTCCAATCCTCTGCCAACCAGTACACGATTAAGCTATGACAGCCTTCTTGTCTCCCACCAATAGGAGACCAGTTCGAATATCAAACTATTCAATCTTCACTATCATTGACACCACGCCTTTTCAAACTTTTGAGATTCATCCATATTTGTAAGGCTTCTGCAGTCAGTGTTTCTTTATATGATCCAAAACCTTTCTACAGAACCTCGATTCTACTATTATTATTATTATCGTTTCCTTTAATTCCTAGAGGAACATAGGGCTTCAGCTGTGCGTTTCCATTGCGTTCAGTTCTCTGCTAGGGTCTTCACCTGTCTCCATGTCTGCCCACACATTTTCATCTCCTCTTCACATGACCTCCTCCAAGTCACCCTAGCACTGACAACCAACTCGCCGCTTCCCTTTCGGGTTCCACTCGAGCAATGGCTTGTCTAGTGATGTCACTTGATGATTTGTTTCCTCAGAGTATGGCCAGCCAATCCATCTCCATTTCTTCCTGCCTATTTCTTTCACAATCGGTTCCTGCTGTGTTGGTTCGCTTCCAGAGATCTCTGTTGCTGATCTTTTCAGGCCGGCCATCTGATCTTGAGTACTGAGCGAAGAAAACTGTTAATGAAGGTCTGTAGTTTGTTTGAGGTGCTCTTTATGACGCGCCAAGTCTCTGATCCATATAGTAGCACTGACATCACATTGGAGTTGAAAATCCGAATCTTATTTTTAATGCTGAGTGCTGTTGACCTCCTTTCTGTTGCGTGTTGTTTAATAGCAGATCTGTTTTCTAGTTTCTTCAAATCTGCAGACGTCTTTTGAATCACTTTTAAACATTGTCCATTCTCCTTTACTCTTGTATTTACCTGTCTGGAAGTTTCTCTCACAATCCCCACAACTGATCTAGTACACGCAATGCTATCGGTTGTCTTCTTCTATTTTATCCTTAACCTTCATCAGTGATGAGCCTAAGGCATTCGTGGCACGTAAATACACTCTTATGTCATAATTGTTAAGAATTCGCTTTATTTCATCCGATAACAATTACAAAATTAGTCTAAACATCTAAATCTTGTGAGTAGATTGTTCAGGAGGGACATTCCAAACAGTCTTTCTGCTACACTGTTCACAATATGACTTCTATCTGACAGCTAGCGTACATTTATTTCCTGATATATATATATATATACTATTGGAAATACATTGGGAGATATAAGATTGATAAGCAAATTAACGACATTGAATTAATCATGCAAAACGACACGTGCAAATGTTTTTCAGGTTATGTTCAAATAGATAAGCGAAAAGGAGTATGAGAGATTAAAATTAAGATAAAATGAATTACGCTTCAATTACATCACTTCGATAAACAATTAGATAGCGTGCAGTTCCCTAGCGTTTACTGTCTGTTTGCCTATTAGTCTCAGGTTCTTTTGGTATGTGTTCAAGAATGTGGACAACAGCCTCTCTTTCTCTCTTTCTGTTCTCCTGGTGTATGTGGTTTGCCTGTTAGTCAAAAAATGTATCATCATCAGGTTTGAAGCCCATTATCTTCTTAATCAAAAGGATATATTACTGATAATTTTGCTAAATTTGACTGATAAGACTATCAGGGTCGAAAATCAATAAATGTTGAGAACTAAATATCTGTTGCCCTGAAATTCTATTTTGTGAGAAATGGCCTAGTGCGCGCTGTCACCCAATGATCCCCTCAGAGTGTGTCCCATCTATCTCCAAATTTATGTTGAGCGTTAGGTTCTTGATTATAAGTTTCTAGACCGTAGGTGTTACGAACTTCCTGGAATAATTTGAGCGCCAAGTCAGATTGATTCATTATAAATTATTTAAATTAATCCCAGCGTGTTAAGAAAAGCAAAACAGCTTCTTCAGCAGATTTATTCGGATTTTTATTAATCATCAAAATATATAGTCAAAAATTTTTACATAAATTGAAGTCAGTTGATTTGAAGGTCATTTGTCCATGGACATTTGTACCGATAGAAATATGTAAGCAGTCATCATAGATTTGTAATGAATAATGTCAAATTGTTATTGTGTATCATTTCCTATAGTTAATTTGTAAAGATTAGTTTTGTATGAGTGTGTCTGTATGTATGTTATTTGTCATATGGAAAGACGTCAGTTCACATGTGATAAACATGATAATACATTTTTTAAAAGGTCATGGAGGCTCATAGAGTGTTTGTTGTTTTTTCATCTGTCTTGCTTCATAAGAGTTTGCCATATAGGCGATAAGTCTATCCCTTCTTTCCTATTCACTTCATTCGATGTGGTTAAAATGTGCAAGGCTTTAGAGGTCAATCTTTCTTATGTGAATGAAATCCCTTTACAAGAATTTCGACATTGTCGAAATCAATCTTATGTCCGCTGTCTACCACATGCATTGCTATAGCCAATCTTCTCTTGAGACTCTTTAATTCGTGCATAGTCTATGTTCATTCACTCTGACCTTCACCTATATAGCATGCTTCACATTCCGAACACTTTATCCTATAGACACAATTACTTTGTGACATTCTGGAACCATATCCTTGACATGCACTAACGCTTTCTCCACAGAATTAGAGGGTTTGACATAAACTTTTATATTATATGAAGCAAATAGTCTTTGAAGTTGTTCAGCTGTGTCCTTTCCATATGGAATGGCTATGGTCGATAGCCAAGATTTTCCATTTTTTTTGTTTTCCCTACTGCTCCTTTTTATTGGTAATATTATCTAGTAGCTTTTCTGTATAACCATTTCCAATCAAAACCTGTTTTATATTGGATATCTCGTTCTCCATATCATCATTATCTGTTATTATGTTTCTAGCTCTGTTAACGAGATTTAAAGCTACTGAAACTTTCATTCCTATTGGATGATCTGATCGGAAATTCAAATACTTGTTAGAATGTGTCGGCTTTCTGTATATGGTAAACTTTAGTTTCTCCTCAGTTTGTCTTTTTAGAAGACAATCAAGTCTGTACATTTGACTTATTTGCTCTGGAGTATGCTGCTTTCGGATTTATAAGTATTTCAAATTTTCGAATTTGTCTTTGCTTAATAGCATTGAAATGAGCGGACTTCCGATCTTCGAATAATTGGGTAATGGTAGTTAGAAGATCTTTGGATATAAGAATATTGGTTGGTTCATTACTACAGTCCCTTGTCTTTATTCCTTTCTGGTAGGCCATCTGATCATCAGTATGTAGCAGTATGGAGGAGATGTTGATAAAATCCTGGAACTTGTTCAAAATGCTTTTCATGACGTGCTGGTCAAGTTTCTGAATCATATAGAAGAACTGACTTAGTGACTGACTTGACATTGATGTTGTGAATCCGTATTGTCTCGTTTATGCTCAGTCAGTGCAGGAGATTTCCAAACTGACTTCAGACAGATAAAGGTCTGTCTTGCCTTTCCGATTTATGCTGGTTTGGACATCTTCATTCGTGCTTACGCCTGGGGTTGAGACGATGCCTGCAGCCTAGATAAGTGAAGGAAATGACTCTTTTATAAATTTCTTCCGTTTATAGTGACTGGTGCTTGTTGATGTCATCGTTGACTGATTATCTACATCACCTGTGTCTTTTCTTTGTTTATATAAATTCCTGTTCCCTTTGCTTCTTTCGTCAACTTACTGGTTTTCTCCTGTAAGTCTTCGAATTGTACTATAATAGGTGTATTTGACGAATGAGGCTAAATAATTCTGTTCTGTTCTATTCACAGTATCTTCCAGTATATCAGGTTTCTTTTGTAGTTCATTACATGAGGCTATGAACCAAGGAGATTATGTCTAGATCAATCGTTTAAACTTGGAATTCCACCCACAGTAGGTTTACGACTATACTGCTTAAGACTTGGGCTACCAAAAAACTTCCATCTCTCTATTGCATAGATTTTCTCTCGTTCGGTTTGTTTTAGTCGATTAAAATATGATCTCTATTTTCGACTTTTGTGTGTATTTAAAGTGTATACAAGCTCCGGATTCTCCAGTTCGTATTAGACTTGAGGAAAGGCCTGATTGTGAGTGGCAACGAGTCCCAATATATGAGATAACCGTTCTTCACTTATGTCCTTGGGTCTCAAAATGTACTTCTGAACATCTTACAATTGGCTTTCAATTAGATCAATATCGTGGATTTCTCGAAGGAGACAAAACAGATATATCATAATGGAATGATGTGTGCTTGAACCCAGAGAGCATTGTGTCACAGGAAGGATATACTGTCAATCAATAATATATTACTTGAAGATATTATACGAAGGGAAAATATCATGCAATAAGCTCTTCTAAAAATTCTGTACATTTTATAAATACTGTCCAGAAGAAAGATGTTATTATTATTATTAATCATATCGATTTATTGATTCTGAATGTCTAAAAAACTGTTTCACTACCTTTTTTATATTTTTCTTTTGTTTTTCGGTACACAGAGAAGAGTATCGTACAATGCGTAGCTACATAGTCGATATGGTTTTAGCTACTGAAATGGTACGACACTTTGATATTGTTACAAAATTTGTCAACACTCTGAGTAAACCTATGCTGACAAAGAATCGAGTAAGTTTGGCAATTCAACCATTCATCTCTTATTTGTTGACTGGTTTCGTGTTTTGGACGTTAGATTTTCTTTTAGATACTCATCGGGACGTGATGTACTGGATGATGGATGTTTGAAGTTGAGATAAACATTTGGTTAGTAAGAGAATTTGAGCTGACTGCTTTCAGGTTACACACACCAGCTGAGCTATGAGACCTACTTAGCAGATGAGTCACCTAATTTAGAACCCGCTGATACAAGACTATTTCAAATTGGCTTATTGTATATTGTTTTAAAAAACGCACACCGTAAATTGCCTTCCAAATAAAGATGCTTCTGGTTAGACCACAGATTGATATCAGTTAGAGAACCACTGAAAACCAGGGAGTACTGGACAGCTGTTTCATCCTAGTTTGGGAATCATCGGCAGTACGCACCCGCTGGGAAGTCGTAACCAGTGGGGGCCATCCAGTTCTGAGTGAGGATGGAATTCTCGCCGATGACACCGGTAGGTGGTCGCGTTAAAATCACAAATTGCTAGAAGTTAGAATTCATGAGCCATTGAATCGGATCCCGGTAGCTAAACGGTATACGAGCTAACCTTGTTACCGAAAGGTCCTGGGTCAAACCTCAGACCGTGCGTACCAAACCAGTATGAAACAGCTATCCAGTACTCCCTGGTTTTCAATGGTTCTCTAATTCTTCAAAATTGAAGATACTTCTGTATGATACTAAGCAGAATCCTCGCTAACCATGTTTTATGAGGTCGGGGGTTCGATCCGCTGCCGACAAACTCATACGCCTCGTTTAACCGGTAGTAAACCCAATAAGGAGGGAAGGTTGGGTGTGAGGCTAGCAAACTCATCCCGTAAAACAACACCAGTGTTACCAAAACTTCAGGGCTCAAAGTTGGAGCCCCGAATTCCACTCAGGAAGAAAAGAAATAAAATTTTTGAAAAAAATAACTAAGTCATGAATAATTGCGAGCCTTTTGCAGTGGAATGACTAACCATACTAGTAAATATTTATAATTTCTGACACCCTGCTAGTTCAAATGATCTCAGGTTGGATAACTCTACCGATGTAGTTAGTAAATACCTATAGTTCCTTGTTGTTTTCAATAGATAACGAGGAGAACGTAAGCTCGACGCAAATCTTTCATGTGTGTATTGCTATCAGAACCCTGAATGTCAGATATAAATCAAGGAAGTACACCAGTAGAAACTGATAATTTAGTGAACTGATTTTATCTTTAATATGCCTACACAACTTTACAAATAAATATTAGGCCAATTATAATCCAATCACGGGGTTTTTTCAATAGGATAATAAGATTGTGCATATAAATTGTGTAATTAATCATAATAACAGTAATATTAATAATAATAATAATAGTAATTTTGTCAGTAATAAAGATGAAAAAGTGAGGTGATTTGTGATAACAAGAAGAATAATAAGAAAAACAGCATGATTAAACAAACAAATGTGTTCAGGTAAACGTGGTAGTCGATAAAGGCTAAGATAAACAGATGGACCAATTAATTAATGCAAGATTAATTGTAAGGGAAGTAAATAAACTATGTTCTAATGAAGATGTGATAAGATTAAGGGATGATGATAAGAGAGAGGGGTTGAAAATATAAGTAAGGGACGGTGGGGACGTCATCAGTTGATTAGGTCTTAATAGGCCAGGAGGGAAGGAGGGATAATGGCTGTACGAACTTCTTTTCAATGCATATTTTAGGCTTAATAGACGTTCGAATGCTTATCGCCTCGGCTTTGTACAGTAGACGAATACGAAGTCTATTGGGAAGATTCAGTGGGATGTGATGAATCACCTTGAATGCTTTGGTTTTCTGCACTGAATGACCACTACCAACTAAATGTGACAAAATAGAGCTATGGATGCTTTTTGTCTGTCCTTTCATAAACCATTATGGGGGATGTTCAGTTACACGTTGGTTGGCTAAGCTGTATAGTACATAGTATGCCCAACATAACTGTCTCCACAGGAGCACAGTTGAATTGATAAATGTACATAGATGTGCGGCAAAACTATCTGACTATCTATCCTTCGTTTGCGTCCCAATCATCCGTCGGCTACAGAATGATAAACGTAGATTCAATGCGTAGACCGTTCTACGTCTACTTCTGGAAAGTCTTTGGAACTAAATCTCAATCGACAAGTTCCCATTAAATTGTAGCTTCATAAATAGAGGTTCCTTCCGTGCTGTCATAGTCTCAGGTTTTCTGTCTAGTGTCTGCATGCTCTCTTGTAAAGAGTTTTTCTGCATAAGCAGACTGAATTTCCAAGACAGTTACCATCAGAATCTCGCATAAATTTGCGTTAAATATTAAACAGCAAAGCGGTCCTGAAGAGGATTCAAAATTGGGAAGGGGGGAGGGCCATAACGAGCATCGGCAATGGTATTGACACCATGAATTACACCTCTCACTGAAATATTTTCATTAGGTAGACCAAAATATATTAAAATTAACTATTCTATCCTAAAAGCCTTTTAAGAGACTGATTTTCAAATGTCTTATTCTACTTACAGCATCATGATCGTTCCTCTGTGGGAAGTATGAGTTCCATGGAGTCATGTTCAATGGGAATGTCAATGTCTCATTCAACATCACCTAGTCCTGGACAAGAAAGAATCTCTAGCACATTGGAGAATTTATCGACTGCAGAGAATAGAGCTTTGATTAAACGGTTAATTATAAAATGCTCTGATGTCAACAATCCTACAAGACCACTATCTATTTGTAAAGAATGGGCAGCCAGAATAGCTGAAGAGTATTTTGCTCAGGTGAGTTAATTTCCAAATCTAAAGTTTGCACTTCTTAAATTATCAGTGAAAACATTAGTCTGTAGATAAGTTTTACTCAGTATTATTATTGTTCGCTTGGGTTCAGAGTGGAAAATAAGGGTTCAACAGTCACATCTCCACTTCATCCTGTCCTCCGCAGTCCTCTTCAGCTGGCTTCACGGCTTCCCATAGTCTCTCATCTCCTCTATATCATCCTTGGACCAACAACAACTTCTCTCTTGTCATTCAGATTTTACTTGGAGGATCCCCTGGAGTGTAATGTCACCCGAAGATCTTGTTGGTTTCCAATTCTTTCTGCTCAACCATGTAGGAGAACTGAATGACCTAACATTTGTGATGAATATCCGAATCTTGTTGTTTATAATGAGTGCAGGAAATTTCTAAACTGACTTCAGAGTGATGAAGGTATGTCCTGTCATCCCGATTCTGGCTGGTTTTGATGTCTTCGACCATGCCGTTTGGCTGTATTTGGAACAATGGTGTCTAGACAAGTGAATGAAGTGACCTCTTTCAAATTTATTCCATTGAAAGGGACTGTTACTTGTTGTTGTTGGTTAATTGGTTGCCTTCACCAACTCGATCTTTCTATGTTCACCTGGGGTCCTATCTTCGCTGCCTACCTCTTCTGATAACTTATCTGTTATCACCTGTAATTCTTCGGGTTTAAATGGCGTTAGACATAAGTCAACTGCGAAATCTTGAGCCTTCTTGTTGTTCCACCACCACAGTCGGAAATAACATCGGTGATGGTAAACAGCCCTTCTCCAACTCTTGTTTCCACTTCAAAGGCTTCGACGAGTTTTCCGTTGTCGATCACTTGGTATGTGGTATCGTTATATAGCCGTTAAATGGGGTTGATAGAGATTTGGGGCATTCCATAGTTTTGAAGTAGTTTCCAAATTACTTCTTGGTCACACGTTTTACTGCGTACAGTGCTCTTATTTTAATTGCTGAGTCCATAAAACTTCATTTCACTTTTAGGACGCCAGAAGCTTGTAAATAAATAGGTAAGTGCATCTGAAATATGGAGTGAGATGATATTTCTTCCAACGATAGAGTCGCTGACCTTTACCGTCATTTTAGGCAGTGTGCGTCAAGTGTAAAAACATCGAAAATTAGCTTTTACTTACAACCAGCTTGATTTACAATTATAATTCAGTGGAAACAAACAGAAGACTTTAAAAATTATCAAAAATGTGTTACTTTAAGTTGAAATTCTATTTGCTCATTAGACTATACAGGGAATTGCACAGAAAACAATTATTCAATATAGACACTTGATGTCACTGTAGCTTTGAGACTTTGAGCTTAACTCTCTTTCTCTCTCTCTATGAATTTTAGCATGATCGTATGTCTGTCTGTCTGGATTCAACATAGAACTTGGCACCGAAGTGCAGCAGTTCGAGTTGCCACGTTCCAAATAGCACACAAAGGTAGACAGGAAAATGAGTGAAGAGAATCAATAGAGTTTTGACAAGTATAAGAGTGAAATAGAATGAGTAATGGTAGAAAGCTGCTACCATGACGTGGTGGTCGGGCTTGAACACCGCAATGACCCAACAAGCTATACTGGCTCAGACTTATGTCGCTTAAGGTTCGACCATGCCAGAAAGGTTGTTTGGATAGCGGTTAGACAAAAAGCAGTTACCCAACCCAATGCCATGACTCAATCAAAATCACAAAATATCATGCCGGATCGGTCGGGGCCCGGATTAACAACGACTGCGCTTCCTGCTGCCGTGTCACAGGGCAGAAGTGATATATATGCTACTGAGACACACCAAACGAAAAAGAAAAAACAAAAGCAGGCCGTGTGTGACTGGCCTCAAGCAGTTGTCCCCTGGGCTCTGCGGTCACGCAACCAACTTCCATGGCGTGGGCAGCCGGGAAGTAACAATCGCCCTCACAATCCGAAGTGCACGCGAAACCTGTCTAATCCTCACTCATCTTTGTCTCCATCTTCATCTCTATTATCTTGCCTTACTCCTACTAATGCAACTCCTCTACTTGATGGCTCTTCACTTCCTCTTCACTCTGTGTGCACTGAAAACGACGGAAGCCAAAAAACCACCATAGATAGTCTCCTAAAGCCACGTCACCAATTTCATATAGGAGCATTTAATGTTAGGACACTTTGCCAAATAGGACAACAAGCATCACTAGCCAAGACTCTGGCATCCCGAGCCATTGATGTATGTTGTGTTTCAGAAACACGCATACAACACCCAAGTGTGGTTATTCACCTAACCCCACCTGGCCAACAGGATGAATCTGCAAAATTCACCTTGAGGGTGTCAGGAGATGCCACAGCTAGCTCACGAGGATTAACTGGTGTTGGGATAGCTTTGAGTACTAGAGCAGAAAAGACATTACTTGACTGGATCCCGGTAGATAGCCGAATGTGTGCTGTCCGTCTGAACGGATCAGTGAAAAGGAGAAAGGACTGCACTACTCGCCGATGCCTTTTCGTAATCTCCGCCTACGCCCCCACTGCCTGCAGTTCGGATGAAACGAAGGATGAGTTCTACCAAAAGCTGTCTAGTTTGCTGCGAAAGGCTAAACGCCCAGATATAGTCGTTTTAGCTGGTGACTTTAATGCTCAAGTAGGGAAATTGTGTCAATCTGAGAAGAATGTGGGTGGCACATACGGAATTCCGTGCCAGCGAACCGACAACGGTGACCGTCTCCTACAGTTCTGTTCAGCATGATCGTATAGTACAAATTTTATATGAAAAAAAATGCGTTATTGTAAGTAACTAACTGAATAACACATTTCCAACAATCTGATTACAAATCTTCTTGTGGCACGCTAGTTTATCTGGAGATGAATAAGTTGAGGGTTTAAAATTTCTTGTTCGGCGTTTCGTCCTGTTTCGGCTGCTCGTCATCTGGATGTACGTGCATTCCCCAGTGATAAGTTAGTGATGGTGTTCCCACCGAGGCTCAAATCCAGTACCTGTCCTTTCAAACACCAAAGTTTTATCTACTAGACCCCTTCGTCCAAGACATCAACTCTCTTACAACGGGTGTCAGTTATTATAGGCCAATTTATTTTAAATTAAATTTGGACTTACTCGTTGGTCGACTGGACAGAAACATTTGACTTGTGTTAACATGTTGGCTCCTAGAATGGATACTTCAACGATGTTTGAGGACTACCTTGAGGTAATTTGGCTGGATGATGACTAGCAGTGGAAGAATCCAAGATGCTCGTTTCGTCCTGTCTTGAACTCTTCAGATGGATATAATCCTTACTATTACTGTTGCCTTGGGTTCCGAGTGGAACATAGAGCTTCAACAGAACGTTTCCACTTTTTCCTATTTTCTGCGACTCTCTTAAGCTGGTCTCAAGATTGTCCATAGTCTCTCATCTTCTCCTCTCATGACCTTTTCCATGTCGCCCTCAGGTACAAATGCAATGCTCTTTTTCCCATTTGGGTTCCACTCGAGCGATGGCCTGGTATGCGTTTTGCGCCCAATCGACCTCCATTTTCTTTGCAGCATTTGTTGAGCTACAGGTTCTGGCCTGTTGGTTCCTTCTCAGAGTTTCGTGTTGTTAATTCCTTCTGGTTAGCCATTTGATCTTCAATATGGAGTGAAGAGGGTGGCTGTTGGTAAAAAATCTACACCAGCCTATTTTAAATGCTTTTCGTGACTCATGAGCCAATTTTATGTCCCATATAGAAGAACTGATGAAAACAGCGTAAAATAGACACTACAATCGAATGACCTTGAACCAGCCAATCATATCGCTCAGCATTACAAATCGATGCTCTTCGTAATCTTCATTGCAGATTTCACCTCAACCTTAATGATAACTCTACCTTGATCTCACCGTAACCATGACCCTTAATCATCAGGATGAAACTTGCAGCGAGGATTATGAAAGGTATCCATTTGTAATGTTCAGCAACGACCTGATTGGTTGATTTTCAAGGTCATTTGACTGTGGTATCTATTCTTTATCGTTACCGAACTGACTTAGTGTTTGTGTTGGAAGTTTGAATCTTGTTCACTTAGCTGAGTGCAGAAGAATTCCACAGTTTTCGCCTACTTTGGCTTTCCGATTCAGGATTTGGAGTCTTTATCCGTTCTGTTACCTGTAGTTGAAATGATGCTGCCTGGGCAGATAAGTGAAGGAAATAACCTCTTTCAAATTTATTTTTTCGGTGGTAACTGGTTGGTTATCTTCATCTTCTCTATGTTCACGTGAATTCCTGTCTTCCCCGACTGCTTCGTCAGGCAGTTATTCTTCCAGTTTGTGTAATATTCAACAAAAATCATCTATCCGCAAAATCCAAATCTTCTAGAGTCTTTCTACCGATCCCGCAGATGTAAATCTATTAGTAATATTCATTTACTGAGCCTGTTATTTTCAAAGCCATTTTCGGTTCTGAACACAACACGAATAATCCCAATGAAGAAATTTATATTTCACTGACCAAATGTTCTCAATTACAATTAAAAAAAATAAATAAAACAGATCAATATAATCTCCTGTTTTTCGTCTGAGTAACTTCAACAGCTAACAATATATTTCAGTTTTGTCTATTTAGCAATTCAAATTTTCATTGTAATGCCTTATAGACATCTACTGTCTGTTTGTATGTTTGTGTGTATGCGTGTGTGTGTGTGCGTGTGTGTGCATGTGTTAGTTGGTTTGTCCATTTAGAACTAAACAGTTTTCCTGAGTTTTCCTTATTTATTTCTTTGTATTGTTGTATCTTTATTACTATTATTACCTTACTTGCTTATTTTAGACGGAAGAAGAGAAACGACGTGGTCTACCAATTGTTATGCCGAATTTTGATAGACAGACATGTAATATTTCTCAATCACAAATCTCATTTATTGATTTCTTCTTGAAAGGAATGTTCTCCGGATTCGATTGTAAGTTCACTGATTCACTTTTGAATCACTTAATTAAATAGATTTCTATTTTCTATTTTATTTTTTATACTTGACTTCCCTTGATCAAATTTCAATATAGAAAGAAAGAAAGATAGAAAGACTAGATTTACAGTATAAAATGTGATGATATCATTGCACTTCACAGTTCCTCATCAGCTGCTCTAGACTACCTGAAATTACACTCTCTATAAAAGAATGACACGAAGTAACACATTTCAGTGTTTGAATGGCAGTAGAGAAAAGATGATGAAATCACCTCATCTTAAGTGGAAGCATTACAATTTTTAGTTTAAGTTACCATCAATTTATTTGCCTTTGAAAGTAGAAGAGGAGGGGGAAAAGAAGAAATCAAAATGGGAATAAAATGGAACAGTAAAAAGATTTCTCTCTGTGTACCTAAACTCGTGTCATTATACACTACCTTATGCTTACTCAATAAGTCTTGTGTTCGAGCCCCAGTAGGTGCGTACTGCCAATGATTCCCAAACTAGGATGAAACAGCAGCTGTCCAGTACTCTCTGGTTTTCAATGATTCTCTATCTGATATCAATCCGTGATCAACTCGTAAAAACAAAACTAACCCTTGCGAACCAAACTATAGAAAATTATTCTGCATCAGTAAACAATTCCATATTAGTTTGTTTATTAGATATATCACACAGTGAAACAGTATTATTTACTGGATGACAAGGTTTCGAACACAATTCATTGTTCATAATCATATCAATTATAATCACACGACTTTGACACTTGAGTTTTATAGTTTTCTTTGTTCTCTCCTATTTGTCGTTTGGGTAGTAGAATTTTCCAGATATCGGGGACAGGTGATGAGTCATTCCTATTACATGTATTTGCAGTTGATTCGATAAACAAAGCTTCTGTTATCAATCTCTCCCTATACCCTGTGACATTAGATTTTAAAACTGTCATCCTATCCCATCCTATTGTGTGGTTGTGTGTAACTGCATGTAGTGCTATAGCTGAACTATTCTCTAGATTTCTTATCTTATTCGGGTCAACCAATCGAGATTTTGCTAGATTTTTATGTTCAGCTAGTCTGACTGCCCCTGTCGAACTAGTTTGACCTATGTATTTGACCTGACAATCATTGCAGGGTATTAGATAAACTAAATTGTTTTGTTTTAAAGGCTCTACAGGATCCTTTAACCGACAAAGCATGTTTCTAATTGAGTTTGTGGTTGGTTTGAATGCCATTTTTATTCCTGCCTTGTTAAGAATTCTGCGTAAGGCTTCCGACGTTCCTTCCTTGTATGGAATTACTACTGATGATTTAGATTTCTTATTATTGGTGTCGTCATTAATATTATTATTATTATCACTATTATCATTATTATTGTTATTATCACTATCGCTACTATCATTATTTATTTTATTTTTACATTTCCTTACATATTTCTTGATTATTTATCCGGGTAATTATTAAGTTTCAAAGCTTCTTTTATGTGTATCAGTTCCTGTTTTAGATTTTCCTTGGTACTATTTAGCTTTTGTGCCGTGTTACTTAAACATTTCACCAATCCAATTTTTACTGACATAGGATGGGATCATCGGAAGTCCAAATATATGTCTGAATCATTGGGTTTCCTGTAAACATTAGTGTTTAACTTCCCATCTTCTTTCCTTTTTACGCTGCGATCTAACATTGGAAGTTCCAATTCATGAGTGAATTGAATTGCCTCCACCTCTGAGTTAATATGTTCAAAAAATCTGTTTACATTCTGTGTTTTAAGTATAGTGAATGTGTCACCTACATACCTCCATCATACTTTGCGGGTGGGGCTGGACATTCCAGTCACTGAGTTTTCCCCACCTATACATCTGCAACAACCGGGAATACTGGAGACCCCATGGTAACTCCCTCAGTTTGTCCGTATATTTTCCCTTGGAATTTAGTTAGTGTAGAAACTAGGTCTAGCTGCACTTGTAGCATCATTTGCTCCAGTGGCATTTTTGCTCTAAGTTCAAATAATTGATTAGAAATAACTTCCTTTCTGACAGCATTTATCCGTACACGTGTGTATAAACTGATAATGTCAAAACTAACCATTTTTTCATCACTATCTAATTTTAAATTATCTAATCTATCTATTAGTTTATTTCACAAGAATTTGTCAGTCTAGATTTTGAGTGGCTTCTAAGTGAATTTAATACCATAGCTAAATATTTAGACAATTCACAAGTGGGTGAATTTCTAAAGTCAACTATAGATATAATAGGATATCCTGATTTATGAACTTTAACAACACCACCATCCTACTGAGGTTAATAACGCAGCACAGACACCTAGCATAATTTAGATTAGTTGTCTCGAATAAGTTAAGAAATCTGGAGAACGGTTCAGCTGCATATAGTACTACATGCAATCACACACAACTATTCAATAGGATGGGATAAGATGACAGTTTTCAAATCTAATATAACAGCGGGATGGAGAGAGAGATTGATAACAATCAGCTAAATGAGAATACGTGTAATCGGAATGATTCGACATCTGTCTACTCAGATATCTGGAAATGTCGACTTCCCCGATGATGACGAATAGGAAGGAATAAAGAGAACTATGAAATGAAAGTTTCGAAGTTTTGTGGCTATAACTGGTTGTATGATCATGAACCATGATAAATTGTGTTTGAAACCTTGTTATCCAGTAAATCCTAATCCTGTTTCACTCTGTGTGTGATATATATAATAAACAAATTAATATGGAGTTACATACAACCACAGTTCCGAAGTTCTATTAGGTCAGCGAAAATTTGAGTTTGAGATTTATGAAAGGACTCCCATGACTATTTGTACAGCACAGTCGTATGTAAGTATGTCTGCTGAAGTTAAAAGTAAGTTTTTGTTAAATCAGATTCCCACGGTTTCCTTAAGATCTCAAAATTATTGAGATCACCACAATATGTGATGCTGCTTCATACCATAAATTGTAATCAAGTCATACTGGGTACACCACTGATGAGCTCGGACTTGAGTGAACGAAACGGCTCTCAGGTGTTCAGATCCTTCCGATAATCTGGATGACTGGTTGATGTGGGGTTTACAACTACTCACTTCAATCAGTCAGTAATCTATAGTTTTATACATTAAGTCGTTCTTATTTTTTCGTGTTTGCATGTTTTATTACTTAATACAGTTTACAGTAGTCATATATTTTTTTCTAAATTTTTATCAAACCTGTGCATTTTCTTTCTCTGTCTGTCTAGCTGTTTTTCCAATCCCTGAATTAATGAAAAATTTAGAAGACAATACAGTCTATTGGGCAAGTAATGTTGAAAAGGAAAAGCAACAACATGAATCACGCATTGACACAAAACAAAATGAAACAGGTCAAAGTTAAAAATCATCTCATTCATCATAAGCAACAATTTTCAGCTTCGACGAGTTCAATCTAACTAAACATGTACTACTCATCTATACGATGAACAGATTTCTGTATAAATGCTACACACCCTATTTAAGTAGTAGTTCACATAAATGTAAAAACATTTTAGCCTTATTTGTTTCACTGTTTTTTTTTCTTGTTTGTTTCTTTATGCTTTGAGTTTTTAACAATTTCCCTTGATCGTTATTGCAACTAACTGTGAGAATGATCACTGACAAACTTAAACAAATCATACAAATTCAGTGTAATGTTGTGTAATTTATACGTGAACCTTTTACAGATGTCCTATGCCTAACCCTGTAATCAATTAATTATTGAGCTCAGTAATTCCCATCCAATTGTGTGGTTGATAGTTAAAATTAGCTAACCAGTTAGTTGTCGTATCTGCCATCCTTTCAAATTGTTATTATTATTATCAGTTAGTTCTCATAATTCTTCTACCTCTAATAGATACAATCATTAGATTATCCGATTTTCATAAATTGTGAATACTTCCATTAAAAGATATGTCTGTCTATGTGTGTATGTGTGTGTGGGTGGGTGGGTGGAAGCGTGTCTGCGTGTGCACGGCGAGATCTCCTTGATCGCCTACTTCAGCTGTAAGATACTCAGAGGATTATTCTTCCATTGTAGAAATTCAAATGGTTATCAGCCCTTATTATTATCATTGTCATTATTATTATCGATCTGTTTCCTCCATTTGTACAGTGCATTTTAACATATAATGTCTAGTGTATAATGACATAACTTTGTGTCTTGTATCTGTCTTATTGTCTCTGGTGTCTTTGTGCGTGTGTGTGTGCTTGTTTGTCTTTGTGCGTGTGTGTGGTGTGCGTGCGTGCGTGTATCTCTTCACAGATTATCCTATTTCATTATTGTCAATCATTTGATCATATGTTGAAGATGAATTTGAAATTTCATTTGTGTTAGACTTTTTAAAAATGATGTAATCATTATATATTTGTGCACATTCATTCACATTCATTACACAAAGACACAGAGGCACACACACAGACATGCGTACATGCATAGAAACACATACTAACAAATGTGTATGTATGCATACCTGTATCACTGAAATACACTATCATATGAATAAAAACAAAACGACAGCATCTAGTTCCTATGATATTCTAAATATTTAGGTGTAGACAAAAGCGATTACATTTGAAGCATGAATAAATGTTTTTCTGAATTGTGTTCAGGTTATTTTTTCTTTCTTTAAGTCATTATAGTGACGTCTTGTATTGTCGACTAATTTGCCTGATCGACTGAAAAATGCGTAGGCTTTGTCAGTATATGGACTCATATATATAATATATATATATATGTATCGGAGCTGTTCACAGGATAGAAAGACATATTTGTGTCATCTTTGGATCTGGCCTGTGATGCTAATCATCGGTCCCCACAGCTTGTGTCCGACCAATCTCCATTTTCATCGAAAAATATCTGTTGGGTAATAGGTTCGTGCCTGTTAGTTCGTCCCCAGAGTTCCTTGTTGTTAATTCTTGCTGGTCGACCGGCTGGCTAGCCATATGACTTTTAGTATTACGGTGATGAAGGCAGCTATTGATGAAAGTCTGCAGTGTAGCCTGTTCGAAATGCTTTCCATGACATGTGAGGTAAGTTTCTGAACCAATTTGGAAGCGTCAAGTGATTTGATGTATATGTATGTAGCGTGACAATATATATATATATATATATTGTCACACTACTAAAGAAAGCAACCTTAGCCATACACTTCAGCAACTGGCGTGGAATAATGCTCTTGTCCACACCAAGTACACTGCTAAGTTGAGTCATCCTGGAGAGAATAAAAATTCCTCTAGATGCAGAACTCTGCCAACCTAAATAAGCTGGAAAGGTAAATCGTGTGCGGATCAAATTGCAGCTGCATGTATTGTCATCTCAGAACTAAGCATAGAATGGGAGTCACACCTCTACCTCAACTTCGTTGACTTCGAGAAGGCCTTCAACAGTGCAGCGTTGACCGAGAAATAATTTGGAAACTACTTCAACTCTATGGCGTCCAGTGTCCAAGTCTCTATCAACCTCATTCAACCACAGCTATATGAGAGTGCACGTGTCAGGTGATCCACAACGGAAAACTCAACGAGGCATTTGAAGTTGAAACAGGAGCAAGTAAAGGCTTCCGATTATCACCTATGATATTCCTCATTGTGGTCGACTGGATTATGCATTAGACTGTGCATTAGGAGTAAGAAGATATGAATACGTTGCACTAGTAGGAAGACTCATAAAATCTGCATTTCGCGTGCGGATGATTATGTTCAATCACACGTAAACTAGAAAATGCACAGGCGAAAACCGACAAACTGGTTGAAGAAGCAAGCAGCGAAGACAGGACTCCAAGTGAACATAGAGAAGACGGAGGTGATGAAGATAACTAACTGACCAACAGCAACAGTAACAACAAGCAGCAATCACCATCAACGGGAGATTTGACAGATGTTACTTCCTTCACTTATCTGACCAGGCAGCATCATTTCAACAACAAGCAGATGGAACGGATGAGGATGTCAATGGCAGCCAGATTCGAGAAGGCAAGATAAGCCTTCATCAACCTGAAACCAATTTGAAAATCTTCTGCATTCAGCATGAGGAACAAGATTCGGATTTTCAGCACCAATGTCAAATCGGTCTTTCTATATGGGTCGTTGTGTGTGAAGAAAATGATTTCCAACAGGTTGTAGAATTTTATGAACAGCTACCCACCTTGCTGGCTGGCTCCACACTGAAAATCAAATGGACGGCTGGCTGGAAACAATTAGGAACAAGAAACTCTGCCTGGCTACAAACTGACCAAGAGGCCATCGCTCGACAAATATGTAGGATGAAATACAGGTGAATTGAGCATACAGTGAGGAGACCGTCAAGTGACATGGCGCCCCTACAGGCCATCGCTTGAGTGGAATTCAAATGGGAAGCAATGAGTGGATTGTCAGTGTGAAGATGATATGGAGGAGATCGTGTGGCGAGGAGGAGATGAGAGTGTGTGGCCAATTGTGGTCCAAGCTGAAGAGGGCAGCAGAAAATAGAACAAAGTGGAGATGTGTTGTTGAAGCCCTATGTTCCACTCGGAACCCAAGAGAATAATAATAATCATCCCCTATTAAATTTCTACTCCATTTTGCCACTGCTGTTAACTTGTTGAAATTTTAGATGAATTCTACTCAACCTCATTAATTATATTGCGTCACTCAGTTTACTTATTTACTTTCATTGATGCTCTCTACATTACGCAGTTTGTTATCTGAAACTGATTACTGCCCCTGGCGGTAACACCTCTGACCATAGCACTGAGTGACGCCGGTTCTGATTTCAGAGGATAAACGCATTGTTTACGAGTATCAACAAGCATGAAATCCAGGTCAAAGGCATCCTGATGACTGCATTCAATCAATTAACACTCAGAGAAGGTTATCTTCATATCATAATCTCAGAAGAATATTCTCTTAACTTACTTTTGCTATCCATAACATATCATCCCATGTTAATAATGGATCCCTTGAATCACTTGGTAAACCATTCATATCTCCGTCTTTTATACCAGAGTCTGTTTCATCCTGATGAGTAACATCAAAGCTTCGAATTCCACTGATATGACCATTACTTCCAGTGTATACAACCGATTCGTCGAACTTATCACTCAGTGATCGTTTCGCCTTATTTTCTTCTTGTACAAGATCCCCGAGTAATGCCATAGCGAATACAGCTACACGTCGTAGAAATAAATCACTCCATATATTAGCTATAGTGAGACACCATTTCAGAGGAGGTCGCTGTCTTGTATCCAGATTTAAATCAATCTGTTCAGGATTTGGAAATAGACCATTATGCCACATACATAACCAAGCTTTGATCAAATCATTTAAACTTATAGGAATGCTGCAAGTATTTTTGATTTCCAAATCGAAAAATTGACCTGAAAGCACATCAGACAATGAATCTTCAGGACTGGATGTATGGTGGTGATTTTTTACTGAGTCGACCTCTGAAAAATGGTGATGGGAAAGAAAGCATAAATAAAAAATCCTTCTATTTGAATATGAATTTTGTGCACGTAGAGATTTATTCACTGGAAACATATTGCCTACTAATGAGTAGTCAAAAACGAAACACGAAATATTTTAACGGAGAATGCAAAAAATATTTTCTACAAACGTAAATTGAGGCTGAGAATAACGAAGTAATCTCTCTGAAGTTCACGCCCTTCATGTGACATTTTAAGTTCAAAAAACGTTTAAAGAAGGTGAATCGCAGCTAGATAGTGCTACGAGAAGGACGGTTTGTTCAAATTGACATCCTTGTTGAAATATGAAGGAAATATTTTAACTGTGTCATGCTGTATAAACATGTAATTTGAGAACTGTCCTTTTTAATTCTATAGCCTATTATAGTATCAAGATTCAAGGCCAAGATACAATAATAAGAAGCATCTGAAAACGGTCTTTTAAATCATCATAAATTAATATAAAATCGTGGACGCACGTTTCATCCAACATGGCACTTGTCTGCTAAATCTGTCTGCATACTCACTTAGTGAAGACGTCTTCACAAAGACATACCTCACTTAACTGACATTGCTAATAATTAGACGAGATGTCTAACTTGATAAGCGTTCACAGGGAAAACATACTTGAATATTGATAAAGACACTTCTTGAGTTTTCTTTTCTCTCTCTTCAATGAAGACCGTTGCAATATCTTTTACGTCCCAAGTGGAACATAGGGCTCCAGGCTTGGGCTTTGAAGTTCCAGTAGCAGTGTTGTTATTCTCCACATCCAGCCTTTCCTCTTAACAGGCCTTACTACTGGCTAAGAGAGGTTAAGGATTACGTCAGCTGGAGGTATAACCCAGGATCACGTGAGACGTGGTTGGCTAGGATTCCAACGCTGAGCCACAGATGCTCCTAAGAGTAAAGGGAACGTCATCTATCTGGCTGATTTTTATGAGAATAGTTCAGCTGTTACAATGTATACTCATAAATTTGACTGTTACTGTGCAGACGATTATCATTATTATTATTTTAGGTTCTGGGTGGAACATAGGGCTTCACACAGCACATCTCTATATAATCCTGTTTTCTCTTGTTGTCTTTAGCCTGCACGGCGATTTCCCACAGACTCTCATCTCCTCCTCACATGATTTCCACCACATCATCCTAAGACACCTAGTTCGTAATTACCCCTTTGGTTCCCACTCGAGGCCATGTCTGGCTCACAAAATCACTCAGCTGTGTCGTCAGCGTGAAAACCGTTATACTGATCTGAATAGCGTGAATTCTAATCGGAATGTTACAGACCACCTTTGTTCTCAGAAAGAAAAATGATGAGTAAAATCTGAAGAAATCTCTAGTTCATCTCATTTATGCTTTATTTATCCCTTAATGAAGAGTCCCAAACAAGGACGAAACAGATGTCCAGTATTCTTAGGTTCTCCATTGGTCCTCTAACCTACGTCAGCTCATGATGAAATTCTGTAACTATTATTATTACTACTAATACTGTTGTTTTGTAATGTACCCTGATTTTTTCAAATAAAAATATAATCCCTCATAACTACCTGTATTCCCCATAACGGTGATTGCAATAATTCAACTTAATATTGGTTATTGTAACCGATTATTTTTCACTCTACAAATGAATTTCTGTTTGATATAGTGATAGATATTCAGTCTGGAAATTGGCCAATCAGAACTGGCCCACGTAAAATAATATTAGTCGAACGTAATCACTAAAATTCTGATGAAACGTACACTCTGTTTAAAGTGTTTAAGAAAAGCTGACTAATATTCTTAACCGCTTTACAACTAACATGGTTCAAAATAATAAAATAAAATGCATGACAATTATTGTGAACCATGCTAGTTGTGAAGTGGTTGTAAAGAAACTACGAAATGATATCATCTAGCTAAATTTGTCTTCTAAATGCCTTATTCAAATTTATCAAAGGGACTAATTGTTTTAATATTTGTAAGTCTGAGGTCAAATTCTGATTACAGCTCTCACAATTTTGTTTGTTTATTATATTCTGATGACTGCTTCGTGACTCTTATGAAAGTTTTTAAAAACAAGAGATGTCCTTTTTATATATAAACCTCTGTTATGTTAATTTCAATTAATTTCCCTGAAGTTCGGACCTGTTTACCGAACGTAGAAAAATTTGAAATTACTCATTTCAATTTCGCTGAGATTTTTACAAATATAACTTTTTTAAAAAAAAGTCTTTTATATAAATAGTTACTCTGACAACACTGAATAATCCGTCTATATGTATCATTTTCCGACATTATATTGCTTATGCTTTCTACCTATAATTCGAAGTCACCGTGGAAAAAAGTATGTTCAAATAATTTTCAAGAGATCTGTAACTCACTGATATCAATCTGTGATCAAATTTGAAGAAGATCAGTTAGTGTATCGAGTGTAATCTTCTTGTACACACGACTGTTTTTACACTAATATATCTAATTATAATCTGAATGTGAATATCGTGATAATTATTTCGCCGCATTATGATACTGAAGGCTATGTAACATAATAGAATATGCGAAACAGCGACTTTAGTATACATATTCACATATTGTGATATTCGCTGACTGTTTTCAACGTAGAACTTTGCATAGATGTGCACCATTTCCATTTGCCACACTCCCTCCACGTAGCACCACCACCACCAACCTTGTTCCAACATGATCCACTGTATATCAGGTAAAACTGCTGGTCGGAGAATTTGATAGCTAGACATGCGTAACACATTTCTTGGCCATCCCAATCGATATAAATTCACAACCTCATCGATTGATTTTCCCTTCTTACTCAAAACTAGACCGAAATCTAACCTGAATATTACTCACCCTACTAGACCACCTAAGCTTAGCCTTACACAAACTGACCTCTGGGCTATCAACTGGCTACACTCTTACTTCTCTAATAGGATGCAGTACACGGTATATAATGGTGTATCTTCCTCTCCATTGCTTACTGAAGCTGGAGTTCCTCAGGGTGCTGTTCTTTCTCCGTTTCTCTTTTCCTTCTTCTTACATGATTTACCTCTCTCAGATGAAATCAACTTCGTCAAATATGCAGATAACCTGTCTGTATCGTTTCCCATTAAGTCTCAGTCAGACTGTCTCAAATTAAATAGCTTCCTGTCGGACATCAGTGAGTGGTCAAAAACAAAATGGTCTCATGCTGAATCCCTGAAAATGCCAGACTATTGACTTCTCCCTTAGGCATAAACGAGATCTACAAACACTAGTAAGTTCTCATGAAAACTGTTGCATTGAGGGGACTAAAATTGAAACTAAGTCTAATGCTAAATACCTCGGTCTAGTTCTATCTTCTGACCTAACTTGGACATCTCATACCCTAATGATTTCTAAGAAAGTGTTCTGTCTTACCTACTACATTAAGAAACTTAGACAATCTGGAATCACCCAACCTCTACTTTCACAATTTGTCAACTCTTGTATCTTACCTATTCTACTTTACTGCTCCCCTTTAGTCTTTCCTGGTCTACTGAAAAAGGACTATACCATCCTGAGAAGGATGTTGAAGGTAGTTAGTAGGACTAGAGGTGTAAATCTCAGTCAGCTCGTCACTACATTAGTTGATAGGCATCTGAATACATGCGGTAAATGGTCAAAAACCATACTCTCCGACCCCCTACACCCCCTCTATTCCCAACTCTCTCCTTGTATCTCATCAAGTAAAACCAGAAATCAGTATAAAATAATCTATGCTCGTACAACCAAGTACAGGAACTCAACGATACCATACTTGGCCCGTGTTCTAAGTGACAAAGATAATGTTAAGCGTGAAACCTATGACTTGCTTTGTTATTAACAACATAAATTTAGACTCTTTTATTTCTCTCATTTTGTATTCTTTAGTGAACTCCTTCTCAAACATACTTAGCTACCTAAAATATTAACATTGGCTTCCTTTTTTGTAATTTACTATATTCCTTCTATTGTGTATCCACTGGTTCCGACTCTATTAGCACTATGAGTATTACAAAATTGTCCTGTCATTAACAATCATGTAATATTAGTTTTGTGGCTGTTTTTTCTTATTTTCTATACTTTTTGGCAATATTTAACTAACAATCATTGGTTGTGAACGCCATAGTCACCACCTTAAAAATTTTGTATTATTCAGGATTACTCACACTACCACCACAAACACTGAATTAGACCTTGGTAGACTTTGGTACTTTTTCGCATTTATAATTATTTGTGTTTATCCTGTTTTTTTTTGCTGTTGGTGTCTTCAGATTTGTTTTTTTTTTGTTTGTTTAATACTTATTTTAAATGTGTGTAAAATTAGATGCAAATATTGTAGATATGTGCTGAAAATTCCACACTGTACCACTAGTACTGTTTCTGGAATAAAGCAAATTATTATTATTAAAAAAAAATCGGATAGATAGAATGCAGACACCTATGACCAAATGCAGTTAACCTTCTCGTGTCTTCCACTTCCAAGGATCATTTCTCACCGACTACCATGGAGAAGGACGGAGTGCACACATCATTTGATCGACAGCCAGCTGGATATCATTTCTGTTAAGCCAGAAACGGCGTAACACTGGCAATTGTCAAACTAATCTTCTGTATCTGTGCTGAGACTTCGTCAGCGATCAGCCTGCTACGGCTGATATAACTTCCGAAATAAGTGAAGTGATGGTCAACACGCTATTCCACTTCACTCCTGCCTATCTCTATGCTAGGAGTCAGTCGACGTCGTCCAGTTCTGTAGCCTCATCGTCTTATATCTGACAGTAGCGAATCTCATGACAAACATAGGTAAAATGCTGCTGGAGTTGTTTAGAAGACTTTCAGTGTTATCAAAGTTTTCACCAAAAACGACTATATCATCTGCATATTCTAAGTCAATGAGATTATTCCCTGGTGATAACAAGTCAATCCCTAAATCTCTGAAGTCAGTGAGATTCACTTCTATTAGTACATCTATATGAAAAAAATTAACAGAAAAATGGATGGGCATTCATGAAGGTGGACGCGTACCCGCAAACATGTCTAAAACGTAGGACAAAACAACTGGCTGTCCAATACTCCCAG